GCACCACCATCTCCCAGATCGAACACCAACGCGAAGATGATGGAAACGAAAGAGGTAACAAGACTGATCACGAGAGCAAATGTGCGGAGACCGCAAGCACAAACAATGGTGAAAACGCATCAGATCCTTCCAGGGGAGCCTGCAACAACGATGGAAAGGCGCCAGGGCAGCCCAGACGTCGACGGAAGCAGCACCTGAACGTCCGAGGCACAGAACCCATCCCAAGCCCGGGGAAAACGGCGACTGATCACCCGCCACCGACACTAGATGCTCGTGGTGAAAGTCTACTAAAAAACCACCAAAATCAGGGTTTAGCATTACAGCCTGGAACGACAAGTACCGCCAACAATCCTAGCAAGAGTGGTCCAACGACAGTTCGAAGATCACGCAGACAGGCAAAGCGACGTGAAGATCCTTCGCACATGTTGGCACCCAACGCTCCCAATCCGCGATTACCTGGACGACCTGTTGAAACGAGAAGCGTCGCCCAGATGCTGTTGGAAGCACGTGACCAGATGTACCTCGACCGACCTCCGATTCCTCCGAGGGCTCCGACGCAACAGGTACCAGACCTGGCCGCGGTTCGTTCCCGTATGGCGGTCGTTGGCACCAGAGCGATGGGGCAGCTGTGGTCTGCTTGGAGTGGCGCGGTGGACACCACCCCACCGAGCAACAGCCAGTCACGACGACCGCCTCGGATTCTACCGAAAACTGATGTGGCGCCCATGATGTCCTCGCAAGTGACCCATGTTCGTTTACACGCGGGTTCTGGTGACCAGAAGGCAAGCCGGACGAGACAGGAACCCCAACCGAACCATAACAGGAAATCTCCCGAGCAAATTGTTAGGCAGAGCTGGAATAGCACGGAGGCAGAAGAACAAGAGAAGATGTTACCTGACGTCAAAGAGAGTGATATTTCAAAATCGGAAGCGATCATCGAGATCGAAGAGGGTCTGTCTCCGACCACAGCTGCGGAAAGACTTCTGGAAGCACTTGAGAATCTTGACGCTGACACCGAGGTCGTTCGTCTGTCTCCTTCGCCTCCGCCGAAGAGCTCTGAGGGAGGTCAGCTGGTGCTGTCCAGCCCAGATGAGATAGAGGTAGATGGTCTGACTCCTTCTCCTCCGGAGACATCTTCCCCGAACTCCCGGCCATGTATGTCATCTGTCGCCGAGAACCTGCCTCCTGGGTTCCGGCCAAACCTTTCACCACCCAAAGCTACACGGGCTCTTCGGAGCGAGTTAACTTCACCACTCTTGACGATGACGGATCCTTCTCAGCAGGAGCCGTTGATGATTTCGGCATCAATAGGAAGTTCTAGGGAGACCCAAATGTCGACGTTGGTGGCACCGTCTTCACCTTACTCAAGCATAGCAGATGCTTTGACGCCGAAGTCATCTCACAAGCCCAGCCGCAAGACCGGCCAAGGCCTACAAGAGGCAGCGACGGCAGAAACGGCAGAATCACGTTGGCTGTCAACATTCTTGCCAGCACCGTCAGTCTTCCCTGCGGAGAGACCTTCCACGGTGCCGTCGTCCCCCTACTTATGTATGTTCTGCAGCTCGCGTTTCCAGAAACCCGAGCAACATCTCAACCATCTGGTTCAGTGTGTGGCCCCGATCACAGGTCGATCCTGGGCTGGTATGATGTTCGCCTAAGCATTTTTCGATGCAGCATCGCCTGAACATTGTGCTTGGAGTCTGTAGATGTCACTTAGGCTCCTTTTATACGCTGACTTAGACTGTGGCTGGGTGGTGATGGTGCTATTTTTAGGAGTTTTATCAAGTGAAGTGTGGTGTCAAGAACGTGTCATTGGATATTCATTTCTACATATATGCCTCATTCTAGATCTGCACAAATATATGAACGATGTGTTTTACTATTGGCGTATTTATCTAATATCTGAGAAGCATCTTTCAATGTTCAAAAACTGAACTGGGGGGGGGGGGCATACAAACCCATCAAGCTCTAATAACCATCACACATCTATCCTCAAATGCTCATTCGTATTTGCATTTGCCTTCAAAGTAAGGCACGTCAGTCCCCACCCTGCTCAATTTTCAGATGGCCCCGAGTACGCGTAGGAATTCCTGCGATAAAATTGAACGGCGTTATTAAACTGACCGTTTTATTATTCAGTCGGTGCTGCCTGGCAGCAATGCAGTGCATACAAGTAGGTGGCGAGGAAAAAGGTTCAGCCAAAATATGCATTTTATTCTTGTCTTGAGCAGTAATATGCGTATGGCATTGACATCTACAGGTGAAAAAACATGTGAATGTTCAACGACAAATCTATTAAATAAAACAGTAAATCAAACAGAAGTCATGCAAGTTTCAGTTTAACCCATTTATGCCCAGGAATATTGACCATCATGAAAATCGACGAAATCAAAATATGTTATGCTCCTACCAGGTCCTTGTATGGAATCGAAAATAATTTTTGCCTGCAGCAAAAGTTTCTCGAGAAAAACGTAAAAAACATGCGTTGCGAAATCGCAACGAAGGGCACACCGGGCGCCATCAGCGTTGCGAAAACGCAACGACGGGCACATCAGACGGACATAAAGTACACTGAACTGCCGTATATGCTATTATGTTTTGACAAAACATCAATCAACTGTTGACAACTATTGCTTGAAAATGCGGAACCCACATCCGTCATGCTCTATAACCCGCCTAAGAGCCTCAGTGAGGAAGCATAACTTCATGATTAGCGAACGGGGAGATGGCAACACGGTCATTATCAACCATTTACGTTGTCCATTGCTGTTCATTTAAAGTTGTGGTCGACACGTATCCAGGGTGATGCTTCCTTTTTGGAAGCTAGACAGATCCATTACCTCCACCTATCAGACCCTGCACAGTGCACACTGAATACAGTTAAACGGAGGATTGGGAGTAAACCAGTGCCTCTCGTATGCGCGTATATCCGCAATCATTTTTAACCACCCTCCTAGGAGTAAAGTTAAATTCCATTGCAGGTTAGTCGTATCCACTCTAAGCAAAAAGAAAAAGGACCGATCCGGCTCTAACAAATTACCCGCGTAAGGCGTAGCGCATCACAACAAATCGAATCCCAGTTTATCATGTTTACACCTAATTCAAAATTTTCATGGCCCCACTCTCAGCGACCTTCACGTGTAACCTCTTTCTCGAGACAATGCCAGGACAGAATGGTGATTCGACGTCAATCCGTCCTTCCCATCTTCAGGATAGTTGAATCCTCCTCCACGCCTCATCCCCCTGTTCCGGGCTGGACCGGCAACGTATATCGCAATCGGGCAGCTCACATAGGAGCGCGCCTGTAGCCGGGTGCAGTGAGTGCTTGGGAGGGGGGAAGAGGGTGGGTCATGGGTGGCGGCTGCCCACTGGCTGGGCTCAGTCTCCAGTCTACGATTGACCGTGTCCGGTCAGACAAATGTCTCCCCTAATTCCAATAATCCTGCTAGCTCTAAAAATGGTCTGATTAGATAAAAAGCCTATCAAAGTAAGAAAACAGGCGTATACTCCACATCAAGCAGCTTATGAATCTATGCGAGTTATGAATCCTAAAAATTATTATTTTCCCATGGGTCCGCCCTCATTACCCCTGCCGAAGGGCTCAGCTACCCTCAGAGGGGACCTATCCCACTATTTGCCGACCCTCAGTTATCTTTTCTAACGTAAATGCTGGTAGTCAGCAGATTCTATCCAGAGAATGGCGATGCCTATCTGTCGCCTGATACCAGAATACATCCCCGTTATTCATTATTTATGCACAATGTACAATGTACATAGTAGATCCAATTTCCACAGGACCTAATTATCTCTCAGCTCCGTTAGCATCGCCGACCGTTTGATGCATGGGTCCTTTTCCTACCATGCGATTTTCAGATGCATGGGAACACATTGCTTAGTGAACGAACAGCCCGAGGCCGAAAATCTGCGAGAGAAAAAGAAAGGAGTGTTTGTGGCTGTTTGAGCCAGCAAATATGAAATGTGTCGCAACATTTTACGTGCGAACGCACCTTGCACTAAACATACCTATATACGTCCCTCATGGCATAGGCGGCGGAGCGGGGGGAGGGGGCACCGGGGCACCGTGCCCCCCCTTGATTTTGCCATTTATCATTATCCCGATAGGCGTTGCATGGAAATGGAAATGGAAAGAATGAGACCAAAAGTCAGCAGTGCTCCCCCCCCTTAATTGAAGATGTTCCGCCGCTACAGCCTCATGGCTACAAAATGAGAGAGAGAGAGAGAGAGAGAGAGAGAGAGAGAGAGAGAGAGAGAGAGAGAGAGAGAGAGAGAGAGAGAGAGAGAGAGAGAGAGAGAGAGAGAGAGAGAGAGAGAGAGAGAGAGAGAGAGAGAGAGAGAGAAAGAAAGAGAGAGAAAGAGAGAGAGAGAGGGGGGAGAGAGTTGGGGAACGAGGAGGAGAGGGAGGAAGATGGGGGAGAGAAAGAGAGAACCCACAGCGTATCACGAGTGAAGTCTACTGTTGATATTCATACTTCCGCTACCCTGCCAATGTGCCCATCGTTGCGTTTTCGCAACACCGCTGTCTTTCCGATGTGCCCTTCGTTGCGTTCCCGCAACACGACCGTAGTCATATTTGAAAATAGTCACAAATCCTTTTTGTAGCATTATTTCTTAACAAAATGCATATCTACGCTATTGTAGGGCTTCTGCAGAATATGTTTACACAATTTTCATTACGATATTATTAAGCACTTAGCCTACTTATCTTGGTTTTCGTGACGTCATCACTCACAAAACTTTCGACTTCCCTCTGGGAGCTCTAGGCAGCAACTTACCGGCCGCACAGACTTGTAACTGCGTAGTATCATGCGCACAACCATGCTACACACGCTGAAACTTGTCTCATCGGTTAGTCTCTTTTACACACTTCTCAAGCTTCGATCACGTCGACGCTTGCTTGCGTTGCGAAAACGCAACGAAGGGCGTAAATGGGTTAATTTTGTCATTTTTACCTGAAAAAAAGCAATAGATTATTATGAAAGTAGAGACGAAAAACTGGCTTATTTATTTGCTTTCGGAAGCACATACATCATTTGCTTTTGATAAACTCCATAAAAGGGCACACATTTGCCTTGGTATAGGCACTGATAAATAACCACTCGTATGGTCCCGTAAACCTTGCTCTTCGACTGGACTAGAGAGTCACTCTGCAAATGTGCAGCCTTTGTTCAACGACAACAGGACACTAGCATGCAGTAATCCTACCAGTCCGCTCATCGCAGCATCTCAGTCATATAAGAAGTAATGGCAACAGCTCGGCCAACCGGCTTCACTTATTCCGATAAGAGCTCTCAGCCATATATCTAGAGATGCAGACACACGTGACCACCCACCCTGGGAATGTATAGCATAAGCCCGCTCTCAACACCATACAGCTCGCCGTCCCACCCTTACTGCAGACCCCCCAGCAGGTCGTGTTCGGTCGTATCGGCGCGGGGCGACTTCTGCTGACTGTTGGGCTCCTCAGTTACCTCCTTGGCTAGCTCCTCGGTCACCTCCTCAGCCACCTCGAGAAGTCCGTCGACGTCCTCGTCCTCCTGACCGTCCTCATCCAGACCGTCTTGCTGCAAACGAGGTACACGCTTGGTAATTCAGACAGCGAAGCTATTGTATCTGAGAAAGCGAAGCTAGTAAAGTTATATAAAGTTATAATGTTTTGTAATTAAAATGAGTATAGTTGGATAAATGTTCGAAAGAATAAAACCATTCTTAGAAATGCCTTTAATAGTCTAATACACATAAAAATATATGCGAGAAAACATAACGAAATGCTTTCGACTATAAATATGCAATGCGGCATTTGAATACAAATACGAGCAAAGTTGCTAACGGTTTTACTCGATTTGAGCTTCACTCTCCTACTTATCCATCGTGAACAATGTATTCAGGAAAAACTCACCTGGAAAGAGGTGGGCAGCCCGTACTGGAAAGCCGACCGGGCCAGGTCCACCTCTATCGGGAAGTACTGGTGCTCCTTCATCAAGTTGTAACACTCTGAGTGGTAGGCGGCGAACCCGCTGATCAGACGCTGCGATACAGAATAGGGAACACGTCATAAAAACTTATTGTGAAAGTTTCGAGATTGGCGGCATCTTACGTCAGCTTAGACATTTTATTTTAGCGTAGTTTGAAACATTTAGGGAGACATACCGCAAAATGTTGTATGATGAAACAGTTTAATTTCTCTTTTTTATTGGTAGCACAGATAAACAGCTTGAAACATTTATGGTATATAGTTTTTGTGACGTTTAGAGAGTTCTTCGCTTAGAGAAGAACAATATCTGTTGAACAGAATATAACTCATTAAAACCGTCCAAAATTAGAACGTCAGTCAATCAATCCGGCCGAACTTCAACCAGGATCCGGCCAACAAACCTGCAGCTGGTGGACGATATCCTGTACATGTTTCTGATCCAGCAGCTCCAGCTTTACCAGCACGTCAGAACGAAGGCTAGCGAACCTGGTGAGTGACAGAACGTCCACAGGTCAATGTTCATGCATTATTAATTTATTATCCCGGCAGTTGCTGGGGTATTTCGCCACACACCGTTTGCTGGGGGGGGGGGCGTTAAACGCCCCCAGCCGATAACTCGAGAACCAATAGGCGCAGCGAAACGCGGCAAACGAAAGAACGCGACGAGACGCTTCAGATGAGTACTTTAAAGTTGAATTTTGAGGTCACAGGTCGGGTCAAGGTCAGGTCAAACACCTGAAATCGGGCTTTCAGTAGCATGGACTTCAGGACTTCGCAATGGGTGCCTCTCGTCATAAACTGTCAAAACGATGCACAATCCATCATATAAGGCCTACAAGAGTGTCAGCTCCATGTAGGGGTCAGTCAAGCATAGGTCAGGGTCAAGGTCAGGTCAACCGGGTAGGCACATATCCCCGAAAATCAAAACTAAATTCGCAGCCTGTGACACATGAATTATGGGTAATTTGGGGCGTAGAACACAATGGTGACATTCATTTTATCATATGTGTACGTGTTTGGCTCAAAAAGTTCAATTTAAGATTTTAAGAAATGCGTGTATCATGGTCGTGAAGTAGTCACGAGAAATTGCCAAGATTCAGTTCAAGATGTTGGAAAATGCGGAACGATAATCAATAATCGAAGATAGCCATTTGATTGTTCATGGTATTGGCAGTCTAATGGCATTTACGGCATGTCTGTATGTCTATTCTGTGATTTTATTTGATTTTTTGAATATATGCCGGTTTTGGTCGAAAACTCAGAAATCATGACGTCACTAAAACCTCGATATCTCGAAAAAATTTCCGACCGATTTTTTTTTTTAAACTTTGTCACAATAAACATCAACCAATTCCCTACAGGTACCCAAAATTTGGCGCGCCTGCAGCGCGCCGTTTTTATGCTATGGCCCGGCGAAAAAAGTAGAGGCGTTTAACGCCCCTCCCTCCCCCAGTAACTCGCGGGTTATGACCGTATCTGTGGAACACCTAAAGACCAGCTAATAAATTATCCGTCTCCTTGACAAGGAGCTCATACTCAACAGACTAGTGAACTTACGGTTACGACCCGTCCTATACATTTTTAGGAATTAGGATTGATAGGTGCGATCCAGGCCACTATGTAAAAGCTGACTTTGCTCTGATTCAATGAATGCAACAAACCTGGTCCTGGCGTCCTGCCGGCAGCGCAGTACCAGCCTGTACTCGTAGTTCCCCGTCTCCACCCTGTACATGGGCTCCTGTAGCGCTGCGTAGCTGTACTCCTCGTCATCCATTTCCTAGGGAGAGAGAGAAAGAGGGGAGAGAGAGAGTGAGAGGGAGAGATGGGGAGAGTGAGAGAGAGAGAGAGTGAGAGAGAGAGAGAGAGAGAGAGAAAGAGCAAGAGAGAGAAAGAGCGAGAGATATAGAGATAGAGAGAGAGAGAGAGAGAGAGAGAGAGAGAGAGAGAAAAAAAAGAGCGAGAGATATAGAGATAGATAGAGAGAGAAAGAGCGAGAGAGAGAGAGAGAGAGAGAGAGAGAGAGAGAGAGAGAGAGAGAGAGAGAGAGAGAGAGAGAGAGAGAGAGAGAGAGAGAGAGAGAGAGAGAGAGAGAGAGAGAGAGAGAGAGAGAGAGAGAGAGAGAGAGAGAGAAAGAAAGAGAGAATGTGAGTGAAAATGAGCATTAGGCAAGCCATGAAATTATATCTTGTATGCGGGTAAAGACATTGCCAATGCCATGACAGCAAAGGAACAAAGGAACAGGAACAATTACTTTGCAGCATAGGAGTAATGGCAGCATCGGCCTCACCTTGACTTTGAGACAGAAGCTCAAGTATTCGAACTTTGTGTCGAGATACTTCTGAATTGTTAGCCGGGTATCCGGGATGGCTTTGTGCAGATAAGTGCCGAGATCGCTCAAAATCTGAAACGTAAATCCATAAGACATAATTACGACACAAACTTCAGTCCCATAAGTCCCGACTCCCGACAAGATGTTCAATTGTTCAGGCACTGACAAGAACAACATTTTAACTAGCAAAGAAGATAAATCGCTGATAAACATATTCAGAAAATCGGAACCTCTCGAGATATCTGACCATCCATGCTGTTCAAAATCTTAAAATAAATCCTAAAAAGGACAAGAATAAGAAAGCGCCGTTGAAGCGAATCAATCACGTTCTATGTATAATTGCTCGCAGCTGCCATCATTCAATCTCGTCTATTCCAAAGGGAGAACGCCGGCTCGCACTGACCGGTTTGAGTGTTCTCAGCAGTCTGACGCCGTTCTTCTCCATTGTTCGGTGGGCGTCTCCGAAACTGGTGAACACCTCGCTGGCCCGCGGCTGCGGCTCCCGTGCACCAATCACAGCGAACGTGTCTCCAAAGGCTGCCAATCAGGATGAAAGAGACGTCCAATATAACCAATTACAACGAACGTATCGCCAAGGCTGCCAATCAGAATGGACGTGACGCCACATAGAACCCATCCCAAAAATATTTGACTTAACCCTCGCCCTGGCAGGGGGGGGGTCGATGCGACCCCCCCCCTAAGGTTTTTCGAAGATAGCGTAAAAACGGCGGCGCGCAGCGCCGCCAAATTTGGCACAGCCTATGGGGCAACCTTTTTACATATGACCTGAAAATTTCAGGTCCGGGTGACCTTGGGTCAGGTCACCAGGTCAGAAAAACCGGTACAAGGTCATGGTCAAATTTCAATTTTCTTTTTGCACCTGTCCAACTCACAGTTTTGGACTTATTTCCTTCAAACTTTCAGGATGTGGTAAGGTCACCGAGTTGTATAACATATAGTTCGGGTTTTTTGAGGTCACTGACCTGAGGTCAGTTAGAGGTCATTAGGTCATAATGTTAAGCCTATGAGAAAATACTAAATTCGGAAAATACTGGAGATATCCGCTTCGTTCTATCACTTTTGTGCTTTGAAACCACAGTACTTAACAGCAGGTCACTTGGTGCTTCTTTGTTTGGTGTACTTATCCATGGGTCAGGTCAAATAAGGTCAACTGAGGTCAAATGACGTTTTTGCCAATAACTTGGCACATAATGACGCTAGAGCTTAAAAAATGGTATCATTGTGTTCCTGGCCATCAGCCGAATCGAATGATATGCGATATGATGCAATTTGGTTAACTTAAACTTAATTTATTAATTTAAGTTTACTTAAAATTTAAGAAAAACATTAAGCACACTTAAGCAAGCAAAAAAGTATATCATTCGACGCGCCTTGACGTGCTGAGTTCACTGGTGCTTTTCTTTTTGCTCTATCTTAATTAGATCAAAAGTTATAAGCGAAAAACTTTTGACCTGTTTTTAGCGAAATTTTTACATTTATACCCCCCAAAACCCCCCTAAATATTGACCTAGAGCAACCAAATTTGCACAGGGGCGAGAACTCTAGGGGGCCCACCTACCTACCAAATTTGGTGTTTCTAGGTGCCATAGGAGCCAATCGCGAGGGGGGGGTCGCATCGACCCCCCCCCCCCCCTGCCAGGCCGTGTTATGAAAAATGTCCTGCCAGGGCGAGGGTTAAATGAAGTTACATTTCAGCTTAAATAGCTTCCATAAAAATTCAAAAGATGTAGATTTTTAGTTATGAATCCATGCCACATGTGACATCTCAACGGTTGAAGTGTGACACTCCTGAAGACGTCTCGCCACTGACCTTTGTGCACCCTGCATAGGTCAAAGAAGGCCCGGAGCACCTTCTTCATGTGCTCCACCACGCCCCGGTACATGTTCTCTGTCCGCTCCAGCTCCTCCAGACGCTTCACCAAGGAGTCGTTACAGAGGATGGCACGCGAGAGTCCGAGGGCGTCGGCAGTGCTGGCCGACATCCTCTCCACTAGGCGGTGTTTCACCTTCTTCAGGATGATGTCCAAAGACTTGCCCTGCTTCGGGTCTGCGTGCAGCTTGTTGTAGCTAACCGTGACATCACCCTGACAGAAGGGTATACTGACGTCACGTCGCTGAACATGTGAAATGATACTGCAGAAGATCCCGAGTAAATCACTACGTCAACTTATTCACTTATGATGTTATTTCTAAATTTATAGTTTCAAATTTTAATATTAAAAAGAAAATTTTGCTAGGCAAATTACTAGAGATCATGGCGAAGATCATCACAAAAAAGCGTTAATTAGAAGACGGAGAAATAAATGCAAAAATTCACATGAAAATGAATGGATGCGTTTTTCCAGCGATGTTCCTATACCTTGACGGCCTGTATGATTTTGGCCACCTCGACTTTGGTCCGGCCCTTGACCGAGGTGCCGTTGACGCCGATCAGTTCATCTCCCGACTGGAGGGTGCCGTCCCTCCCAGCCGGGGTGTTGTCAAACACCTGCAGGGTTAGAGGGGTCAAGGTAAGCAGGTCAGATGGTCAGGTCAGGGTCAGCAGACCAAGGTCAATTTTGGGGGTAGAAATAGATAACGTTTCAGGAACAGGAGCAACTGCTTTGAGATGTGGTCACCTGTGAAACATTCAGGGATTCGGTAGAACCTGGGCTCGATAGAGCTTAATGTTTACGAGAAGGATTAGCGATAAAGGGTCAGAATTCAGGGTCAACGACAGCGGGCCAGTGCAAGGAAGTCAATGACTTGGAATTAGAAGTTGGCGAGCTAGGACTGGGCTCAGTTCGCGCGTCAGGGTTTGTGTCAGATACTTGCTGAAGTGGAGATAAAGATCCGTTCAGCGGGCTGACAAACATACACCTTAGCAAATGGCAATAAACTATTCATTTAATCATATGCCCATTGCACACCCAGGTGTCTGTCACTCTTCTCCGAGCAGCTGATGGTGCAAGTGCCTAAATGCAGGACCTTGTGGGGCTTGTGAGTTTCCATTGAGGTCTACGTGTTGTCTCGCTCACTTCAACCACATAGTTAGAGACAGCTGGATAGAGGGAAGCCGCCTCCAATGCTGATACCAATCAGTATAGTGTCTCTCCTATGGTCTATATTATTTCGCTTGCCTAAACCACATAGAGACATGGACAGAGCGGGGCGCCGCCTCCGATACTAATACCAATCAGATTAATGTCTCTCCTATGGTCTATCTATATTATTTCACTCACCTGAACCACATAGAGACAGGGACAGGACAGAGAGGAGCGCCGCCTCCGATACTAATACCAATCAGATTAATGTCTCTCCTATGGTCTATCTATATTGTCTCACTCACCTGGACCACATAGAGACAGGGACAGAGAGGGGCACCGCCACCGATGCTGATACCGATCAGGTTCGACTCGTCCTTGTTCAGTGTCACGCTGCCCGTGGTCAGCGTCATACCCCTGAAACAGAAATGGAAAAGAACAGGGAGCGATCAGAAAGCGTACAAAACGCATCGAGTAAGTACGCACACTGCACACTCGTCAACATGCAAGGGTGAGTGAAATACTGGTCCGGCCTGGGTACATGAAGTGACCGAACAAAGTAACGGAACATTTACTTTTATTTTAGCATTCCAACATATGAATCAATCGCCCATAAAAGTGGCGCATTCTTACGTTCTGGCGTGAACATTGCGGAACAAGTCCATGGTGTTTTGATGTCCTGCAGTTGGAACGTTCGCCCGTGTCTGATCTAATGACGTGAAAGCGAGACGAAATGGAGATTGCAGGTAGCGAAACAGGTTAGGAGAGGATTTCGTAAAGCGATGCTATTGTAACGCAACGCAATGTGTTTGTCACTTGCTGCTGAATCTTCTGTGTGTTTTTCTAGTTTCACACAGGGGACAGACGAAGTCTCGGTTGACGTTTTGATCGTTCGGACGTATCCCGGCCTAAACAAAACACATTTGCTTTGATTGAAAAGTACTGAAGTGTCGTTCTGAATCCAGGACTTCGTCTTCACAGCATGCTTCACTCGTCGGCTCCCTAAATCAATATTCTCGACAAGGCTTTTTACGTAGACGTAGCTGTTGACTGTTATTTCGCCTTAAAAGCGCTTCAACACTTGCACCAGTATGGCTTAGTCCCGCTTCATGTTGGTACACTATTCGATCACCAAAATGGCACCACTGGTAACCATTGCACCACATATACCGCCATCCGGCTTCACCAGCTCCCGTCACCATCGGCACCACGGGCTGGTGTCAACCTTTAAATGGCCCTGCTGTCACCAGCCCTGCATGAGTCGCCTCCAACGCACTGCTACCACATCGAGACTACTGCCTGCTAAGTGCTATCACAACTCACAACGAACACTAGTGACTGCCTGCACCACTGTCACCACTGTAAACACCACCAGCACCACACCACTGCACCATACGGGCAGGCCCTGCCTACAGCTCTGTCACACAACTCCTCTGGCACCGACGACAGGAGCGAAACTGACGGGAAGGGGGAGGGGTGCGGGTGGTGGGGGCGGGTCTGACACGTGCGGGTGGGGGCACTGCGGGGGGGGGGCTGGGGGTGTTTGATTTGCCTTGTCATCTCACCACGCGAACCGACGTGACCTGGGAACAAACACCTGTGCCAAGCTACCGTATTGTGGGAGTAATAGGGATCGTAAATATACGACCAGACCACGTCAGCCACTACGTTCCGGTGGAAGATGATATGCATCACGGTGACTATAAATATGCATAGATATGCATTATGCAATATGCATGTTGTGTGTGCATGGGACTGATATAACAATCACTCGTGCACAATGACACATTCTATCGAGTTGTCATGAGTGGTTTTAGATTCGCTGAAGGCAAATACGTAACGTGGTAGACAATGGCATACATTACATTACTTTACATCAGTGATCTATAGCCGTCTTCCCTTACCTATCTACCGTCCACATAAACTAGCGCGAGAAGCCCAGCCTGTCATCGCGAAATTGTATAAACGTCACACAGCGCTATCGAACGACACTAGCAACAGCTTGGTCAGATCGTAAACTACATTTATCCAAGTTAAGCTGTTCACTGAGAGCGTGGGGGTACACACTAGCCAGTCTGTGTGTTGTTAGCATTGTAGGGAGGTGGGACTAGCGGAGGGGCTTATAGAATAACAGTGCCTGACTGACTGAAGGCAATAGGAAAGAACAGTAATTTCTGATGGCAGTGCAAGCACTCTGGGCTTTAGGTATGTTCCTTGCTTCCGTGACGGTAGGTATAGGTTACACATTTTTGTTCATATTTTTTTTTTTGCGCGATCGAGGCGCTTCACCTTTTGCACTTCCAGCGACCCATCATGCTTACATTACAATGATGCAACCAACGAATACATTAGTTAATTTAGTTATCGACTATCCACCGTTTCATTGGTGGATCCAGGGGGTCATTTGGGGCAAATATAGGGCAAATTCTGGATACGCCGGTACCCCATTTTGTAATCTCGTGTCGGTCGGAGCTCTCACGCTACATCAACTAGAAGGCGACTCTGCCACGTGCAATGCAGTGACCCTAGATCGAACCGGGTCGAATGGTTTGTGATGCTAGAGCGATTTGTCTACCAAACAACAATGTTTGCTAAATGGCATACGGAGACGTCTTACTTGTTAGTACCGACTTTATATGGGTTCTGAGCCCCCCCCCCCCACTTAGCTCACCTTGGGTCCTCATCCATGGGAAGCATCTGCGGTCTCAGCCGATGGTATGACGTCATACGTACGTCAGCTCGGTGACGTCACACCAGTTCACTGCGACTCACGATTGGACGCCCGTTTGACGCAGTTCCCTCACCACACCACATTCACCAGCTAGGACCACCAAAGTCGGAGTATCGCCACACTCACTCGGTTTTAGCCACCGAGGGGCGGCATGGCAGTCCGCCCTCCCCGATCACACTGACAGGAGTCTGACGTGACAGAGGCGGTGCCAGGCACTGCCACCGGGAGGGTGGGGAGGGAGCCTAGCGCCGCCCCAGGGAGTTTGCGCCGCGCGGCCGAGCGGCTGATAAGATAGCGTGGAGACGGGGCGCGGACGTGCTAAACTTTCGCGTCTATGAGTAGCGAACATTTGAGCCAGCAGGAAGGTGTGTTTTCGTATGTTTCTACGTAGCATGATTTTTCAGTGAGACCGATATTCCACATATGCCTGTGCTGGCTATTAACCCGCGCCCCGTAGGGGGGGGGGGCGAAACGGCCCCCCCCCTGTCCTTTTCGGTCGATATCTCCTAAACGGCTGGAGATATCGCCACCAAACTTTCAGGACCCCTCCGGGCATCAATTTTACACATTGTGACAAACATTTTTTCCAGAGGCTATGATAGGTTGGCCACAAATGACGTCAGAGTGACGTCATGTTCTGTCATTTTCGACCGAAAAAAGACCTTCGCGAGAAGACCTGTCAGGACTACAGCTTTGAAGATACAGAAAAATGATCAAGACATAAAAGGTGTAGAATTGACAGGGCTACAAAACTGCCATCTCGAATTTTTAAAATATTTGAGTTTTGACCCCCAAAAATCAAAAAAACATTTTTTGGATATATTCGCCAAAAAATCCAAAAAGTTTTTTGAGTTTCGAAAAAACCGGAATATATATGATAGTGCCTACCGTCTTCTATCCACATACCAAATTTCAGATCGATACCTCGTTTTTTGGCCAAGTTATAGCGAAAAAACTGTTCAAAAATGATGACGTCAAATTTTCAAACTCAATTTTTGGCAATTCTAGAAATCGTAGAGCAAAACGAAGACCACCATTAGACTCCCCGTGACGAGCTGCATCGAATCGATACCCATTTTATGCAAAAATATCAACTTTGAAATTTGACCTAATTTGACCTGACCTTGACCTGACCTTCACCAAAACGTGACCTAGGCTGGCCCCAAAGGCTGCCTAACCCACATAATCGCATTTGTCATATAAAATGGACCATAAAACATGTATCACACGACACATTCATATTGTGACCCCCGGTGACCTGACCTCGCTGTGACCTGACCTGGTATCAGTAACCTCAGATAGCAAAGTATGTGTTTGACGAACAATGTACCATCGATGGTTTTCAATAAATTACCAATTTACTCGCTTTCACAGGACATTTCTTGAATTGCCTGTGAACGGTGAAAATCTGACCTTTGACCTGACCTGTGACGTCATCGGTTTGACCTAGGTCAATGAAATTTGGTCACAAGGTAGTTCCCGGGTGGGGCTATCGAACGCCGTTTGAATTTTGAAAATCGGCCGGTAACTTTCCGAGATCTTAGGGGGGGCCGAAACGGCCCCCCCCCCCTACGGGTGGTAGGGTCCGCCGGTAGCCCTACGGGGCGCGGGTTAACGGCCAGTCACCGACATCTCGGGACTTGATAAGGTCGATATGTGCAGTAAACGCACCTGTTGTGAGAGCAGGCCGGCGAGTGGGCAGGGACCGTCACGAAGCTGTAACAGTGCATGCGCTTTCCGTTTCCTATACGGGATGCACGCACTCAGCCAATCCCCAAGGCGCATACAGCGATGCCATAGTTACCACCGTGTGGGAAGAGCCTCACAAACTCCTCTCTTTGTGTTTGAAAAAAACTCAAACGAAAACACAAACAAATAAACAAACAAACAAACAATGTTTGTTCATTGAGAACGGCGCGCCTACTTAGAGGAGTTGCGCCCACACGGCTCTCCCCATATTGCAGTACTCACATGCGGTCCTCCATGGCGGTTCGTGTCAGCGACGGGTCGTCCAGGTCCCCGTCTGGGTCAGAGCCGGGTATAAGGTGGTAGTAGTGGGACATGCATACGGGAACACCAGCCTGGCGGTAAAAATACACTGATAATACCAGGTAGTAGGTAGAAGTGGCCAGTGGGACATGCATACGGGAACACCAGCCTGGCAGAGAGAACACATCGGTTATGTCATCGCATTCAGCGGGGGTGGGGGAGGAGGGGGATCTAACAACATTCATTCGTGAATTAATGGTCTTATGCATTTGCAATTGCAAACAGAAAATGATAGACGCAACGCAACGCATCTGAGATGCACGCAACAAAGCTATTATGTCGCTTAGGAAGTAGGTACTAAAGGTGAACAATTCAGTACTTACTGGCCACATGAACATCTCATAGTTCTTGGCACACGATGCTAAAAACTATTACTGCTCTACACTTGGCTGCAACTTTCTTTTGAAGTCACATAGGTGCCAAAGCTAAGAAAAAGTAAGAAATTAGCAAGAGTGGCTGAACCCGTTACTAAAGTTTATGGGATGCAATAACATCATATCATTGCATTTTATTTTCTACGTTTTTAATGTTATCAGATTTATCATTCACGGCAAGCGCTTAAATTATTCAAGCAAGAAACCATAAAAAGGTGCAAAAATGCCCAACTTTACCCTAATATTAAAAAGTACGCCGTTTTTAGATCAACTTCGCTACAACTGTCTACAAATATCTAGTTTCCAAAGCTCGTGACTGTTCATCATAAGTACTACGCTATAGCTGGCTTACAACATTCATCGTTCACGACAGCACAAACAACTTACGAATATTTCAAACGAACGAGACTAGAGAGCTGAGACAAGTTGAGACACCCGACCGTCTCAGTCCATTGGGCTCAGCAAATGAAAAACAATTTCAATCGTCTCATGCAGCGTTCATCTACCACACAGCGTGCGGGACAGTTCTGTGACGAATGAATACATATTTAAATGCTGGTTGGTAATCCAGAACAAATGATAAAATATCTAGCGTTGCTGCCCCTGGAAAATATCAATTATAGTCAAATAAACGTTTAAAAGGCATGGAAAATTTATATAAGGAAGACTCGTTGCAGCATCACTGCCAACATAAATGTTCGTTGCTAAAAATAATTTTAAAAACACTAACTTTCCAGCTTGTTTTGAATGACATTGAAATGTTAGCACTTCATTGACAAGAGCGGTTCTACGTAGATGCACTGACGATTTTAATCTGACAAAAGAAACTCACCAACTAAGGCTTTCTCCATCTGGCGATCTGCTGAGCGACGATAAACGGTGCCTTGACCGGTGAAGTTAGCCAAAAACCTTACACACAAACACAAAGCACACGATTATCTGCCACCGGATATTCACTTCCAAGTGACTCAACAACTATAACTTATCATTTACGGATCGGCGCCTGAGCCTCACTTCAAAAACACAGATATGCTAGGTGCCCTGTTTTCTACAGTCTCTTCTCAAAGGACCATCACGGTGCCTCTCGGGGCTACCGAAAGGTTATATGGCCTTCAATCAACACCGTTCAGTGGTCACAGTCATCACCTACAAAAGGTGAAGGTTCCTCTCCTCCTCCTACCCGGACCTCGCTACTCGACACTGCAGCGACGCTCACAACTGAACCGTCGCGTCGCGGTCGACGCGTCCCCCCAGTTGGGGGAGGGAGGGAGACACTGCGCCAGGTGCAGTCCCATCTGTGGCGATGTGTCACTCAGTCCTCGGGATGGATGGTAACTTGGGACACCTGTGTTGCCGACATGATAGGGCGTGGTTGTCAGGGGCATCACGTGCGATAAGAAGAGGGTGTGAAGAAGGTGATGATTACAAGCTCGAACTGTGGTAAGCAGGGGCGCGGGAACTACTTTCCGACTGGGGGGGCACACCATAATAGAGATTAACCTAGGGTACCCCCAAATCTAGTTTTCTCACCGGTTTTAGGCCACTTATTTTTCACCCCTCGGCTTTTTCAACAAAAAAAGAAAACATTTGCAAAAAAGTGTGGTATTCCGTCTCAAAGCTGTGGGGGCACCGCCCCCACGGCCCCAGAGTTGGGGGGGCAAGCTGCCCCCACTGCCCCCCCCCCCCGGCTCCCGCGCCTATGGTGGTAAGAACATGGGAATGTGCACCACCGTCGAAGTCCGGGGAAATATAAAACCAGTAAAACGCCTTTTGGGGCGACTAACGGAGCGAGCGAGAGGGTGAGCCTTGCACGTGCGAAATTTCGAGGGGTTCCTCCAACTGAATTGTGCACGGCACCCCACTAACCGGTCTCTAGCGATGTGCCAAATTTGAGCACAATCGGCCCAGCCGTTCTCGAGATCTGGAAGCGGCACCCTGCACGTGCGCACGTGCAAAATGGGTCCCGACTGACTTTTGCACGGCACCCTACTAACCGGTCCCTAACTGTGTACCAAATTTGAGCGCCATCGGTCCAGCGGCTCTCGACATCTGGAAACGACCCCTGCACGTGCGCACGTACAGCAGCACCCCAACTCTGGTACATGGATATGCAGTGCCTAGTGGGTGCCTACCTACATGCCAACTTTCAGCGCAATCGGCCCAGTAGTTACCGAGATATTAGCCGTTTTCACGACGGCCATCTGGTACACATTTGGTGCACATCTGGTACAGATTAGGTGCAGATTTGGTCAAATCAGGTTCAGTGTGTCTCTTAGCAGCTACCAGCTAGGGTTGCACTAATTGCTTATATGCCTGCTTTGTCATATTGTCAGAGAGCATCATCGATTAAAACACTGAAATAAAGTCATAAAATGAAGACATTTGCTGTAAATGAGATTAGGTACAGAGTTGGTCAAATCAGGTGCATTCGCCGGATAGCCCGTCTTGAAAACGGCTATTGCAACTATTACAAAAGTGACACCTCTTCGTTTTGCACGTGGCACGTGCTTAAGGGGTCACCCACATGCATCGGGAATAGTCTAATACTTGGTAGAAGGAATGAAGCTACCCTACAAAAACTACCGCTTGTAAATCGGTCAAGTGGTTGCTGAGATATAAGCCTCGCAAAAGCGTCCGCACGGCCGGCCGCTCATACTCAAAAATTTCCGTTAATCTAAGGAAAGACTCCGCTCGATTCGCTCGCTCCGTAATTTAAACACGGCAGAGAGAGTTCCCAGCAAAGAAGTCATCTATAATGCTTATCCCCAATGTGCTTTACGACACGACTTTTGACAGCAGGGGCATTCCACGATAGATCGTACCACTTTTTTCCAATTTGACACCCTCATCTCTCGGAATTGGACGAAAATTGGTCTCAGGGGTAATCAGGGGCTCTGAATCTACCTGTAACAATTTCAGACTTATCAGATAAGTATTTTTTGAGTTATGGCGTATAACATTTTTTGGATCTTGCTTTGCAGCGCTAAGTTTGGCGGGCTGTAACTCTAAGACGGATTATTCAAATGCCAAATGTTAGATAACATTGAACTTGCAATGAAACAGAGATTAATATGTATTTTTGAAATTTCGAAAAATACGCTATTTTTGATATACGACATATCGAGTTTTCTTTCATTTGTATTTTTTGGACTTTGGGACCAAATTTTTTTGAATTTTTATTGCTTTAAAAAAATATTTAGCTCATTGTTAAGAAGTGTGCAAAAAATTAGGAAGGTGTTCTTTCTATAAATGCATTTATTTTACGTCACGATACCGGTTTCGAATAGTGATTTTGGGAGGGGAGCTTACAAATGGCGTGGTAAAGCTGCCTAGTGACATCACGGGTTACTGAAATTTCAATTGAAGTCTTAGTCATCTGAAAAAAATGAAAAGAGGGTTCATCCAACCCTCTTTCCTATAAGCGCGAGAGTGAAAAAGGCTGTTTGGTTCTGACATTGTTTTGGACGCCAATGACCATAGCTGTCCGTGATAAAAGTTACAGGACGCATACATGGTGTCCTCCAGAGGTCTCACAACTTATATATCTGGGAATTTTTGAAGGTCACATGAGTCACGTGACATCACTGTTATAAGTCAATGGGGAAATATAAAATCTGTTATTCTGGCGCCAATAATGATCTAAAACTATCTCACGTACATGGTATCGTGATTTCCTGCACTCCTTGCAAAGTCCAATGCTTCACTTTTGCATTGTTAACCTTGCGTGACGTCATTTATGACGTCACTAGAGTCGTACGAGTTTTTCGTCAATAACTCCCGATCAAATTGAGCTAGAGAGTCGGGAAAGCCACCAATGGACTCGGGAAGACCTTCCGAATCGAATGATATGCCATATGATACCCTTTGCCCAGCTTCGTGACCTGAGGGGCTCTGACCTGACCTTGACCCGAGGTCAACTACTTAAGTTGACCTCACCCTAACAAAAAGTATACCATTCGACGCACCTGAGCTAGGCGAACACAATGATGCCAAAATTGCGGCTCTGCGGCCATTTTTTGCGAAGTTATTTACTAAAAATCGAACCCGTAACTTCAGTCACTTGACCTGACCTCAGACGCTACCGGTTAACCTGAGACCTTAAAATTGGGTACCAATCGCTGCGACTTGTAACGGCACACACGTTCGTTTTTTCCGCGAGGCTCTACCTCTATTAGAAGCAAAACGGCGTGCTGGGGTCGTATCAACCCCTCCGAAACCCATTTTGTTTGCGGGAAAATGAGGATCTTATAGAAAGAACACCTTTCTAATTTTTTGTATGTCGATTTGCAATGACATGAAGTTTATTTTGAAAAAATAAAAATGTGAAAAATTTTGGTCCCAAAAGTCATTAGAGGCAAATGAAAAAGGATTAAGGTTTTTGTTCAACAATCAAAATTTTTCTTTATAATTTTTAAAAAGTAATATCAATTTTTGGTTCATCGCAAGCTTAGTGTTGTTTCCCGTTTGTTGGTTGCATAACCCGTTCTTGAGTTATAGGCCATCAAACTCACCGTTACAAACCGAAGTTAAAAAAATGTAATGCAATATAACTCAAAAAGTTTTGATCTGAGAAGTCTGATATTTTGCCAGGCGTCTTTGGGGCCTATGATTACCCCTAGGACCGATTTTCATTAAAATCTGAGAGATGAGGGTGACGGGCCTGGTACGATCTATCGTGGAATGCCCCAGCAGCCCATGTGGGTCACGACCTTCTCCCCTGAAACCGGGGTCTCAAAAGGTCATTGCCCTGCAGTACCACCCCGCAACCGGGGCCACACTCCGTGTCGTCCCGTCAGTCGCTGTCAGCAGCTCTGCCAGGGCTCCACTGCAGCTGAGCTCTTCATTCACAGTACCAGTGACCGGGGAGCCGTTAAGTGGTGGTTGAGGAGTGGCAACGAAGCTCGATAAGTCACCACTAGGCTGGGCGGATACGCAGTGCATGTCACCAGACTTACTGGAGTGCATTTGTGGATTTCAGTTGCCTACGCACCAACAAGAAATGAAAGTTAGGCGAATGTCGCATCGACGTGCTTTTCGGACAGTAGAGATCTGGAAAGCTAAGTGAAGCGAGCCAGAAACTTGTTCAAGAATTAGGCACTGGAGTTGAGGCAAGTACCTCGCATCAAGACGGCTCGCTTTCGTCGTCTTCACTTCAAATCAAGCCAACTCTTTAAGACTTTCCTTCAGCCTATCCATCCACATAGAGGCTCCTCAGCACGCCACTTTGTGATCCACGATGTCTTTATTTCTGCTGAATCTGCTGCTCACATGCTGTGGAGTACTAGGGGAGGTGTCGTCACTGTCAGGCCCTCCGTACCCCTCCGACGACATCCTGACAGAGCTGTCCGACGTGCCCTCTCCCTTCGTCTCCACCATCGACGGCTCCTATCCAAACGAAGAGGTCGTCGAGTTCATACCCGCGTTCCTGCCTTTTCGCGGTACGGTGAAGCCCACACCGTCGGATGAGTTCTTAGAGGACCTTTTGGAGTTCTTCAGCACAGTCATGGTGGATCCTGGAGACCCAGACCTTGTCTTCTTTCCTTCAGACCATCAAGAGACCGGTCATCCTATTCGCACCGGTTCGATCGTCCCTGTGAATCGTTCCCCATCGGTTCTCCCATATCCGCGAACGTCTCCTGTGAATCACGATAGAGATTTACGTGGTCCTTCTAGAAAGCTTGAGACGGCTGCAAAGGAGCTTATCCCGCGAGGTTCCAAGCAATCTTCCACTGCCCTACAGGCATTTGGTGCCGCAACCAGCGACGCCACACCTTTGAAAAGACTGATGTGCATTACCTTGCTACGACCAGTTAGGCTCCAGCAACCAGATCCAAGAAGCTCCAACACTCGCCAGAGAAGTAGCACAGCTCCAGTAATCCAAGCAGTTACCAGTTATTACTGGTACGGTAAAGGCAAGCGGAAGCGGTGTCCAGAGACGCTAGCGAGGGGATCCGAACACAGGCCAAACAAGAACAACAAGATTAATTCGTCGTCTTTGATACAAAACTCCAAGGATCAAACATCTCATTTGAGACAGCCACTCCCTCGTCGAAAGAACATCACCATGCTGAAACCTCCACCAACGCCTCCGATGGGCAAAGCTATGCTGAAGCCCCCACCTACTCTCCATCACCACTCGGCGTCTAAATCACATCCAAACCACGGACACCTCCTGAAGTCTCCACCAACTGCCGCCAGATCCTCCACGCCTCAGGCGTCTTCATCACTTCCTTCGGGAGTAGAGCTGGTGAACCTGACGGCCATCTACGGCAGTAGCGGCAGCAACTGCACGTGCCTGCCGGTCAACCGGTGTCCTGAAGGACGGGGAAGGAAGGCAGCGAGATGTGGTCGGATTCATGTCTGCTGTCCCGATGAGCTGCTGTTGCACACTAAATGCGGCGTGCTGGAGCATGAGGCGAGGAGAGACAAGGTAAGAGACGAGCTTTATTCGCGATCGATGGCAACACAAGTCAAATTCCTAAAACCAGCCAAGTCAAATTGACTTGTGTTGCCATCGATCGTGAATAAAACTCAGTCATGTCTGATTATTTACATAAGAGACGAGCGCTGTGCGACCGGTGACGCTTTTTCTGATGAAATGATGTAACGAGATTGAAGATCAAATTATTTTAGCTCATGATTATTGAGCTAAACGTTAAATTGGGTTTGCCATTATCCCACCACGCAGGGTCCCGTTCTTTGACATTCAGGGAACATTGTGCATTGTCTGATTTAAATGAATTATACGGTAATGCAGCCTGTAAATAATGAACTTTGCGATAAAATCCCAAAGAATGAAAACGTTTAGTGTTTGTGCCCCTTCAATGCACGGGAATGGGACATTCCACGTCAAGTGAGACAAAAAATGACCATTTTGAGCCTCACCTCCTCCGATTTTTGCGAAACTTTGTGAAACTACACATCATATGTGAAAAGAAAGGAGGCATGTTTTTGTCAAGATATGACGTCACGTTTCCGAGATACACGTATTGTATTGTATTGTATTGACAATTAAAACACTCTCCATATTAAAATGGCTATTCTGAGTGTCGCGTCTGAGTTAAAAGGGGAAAACGAGTTAAAATGCACCCAAATCACAGCACTCAGCAAACATATCGAACCATTCACTCATCCCTAAATACGTAAAAACCACTCGGAAACAGAGCGTTTAAAACTTCCCATAGAGAGGCTCCTAAAATCATGGGGCAGGCGATTGTATAACTGGGCGATGCTGTAGAGCAGACGGCGCCTCCCTGCTTCGGTCCTCACGCGTGGGAGAGCCAGATCAGTGTCCCGTCTTGTCGAGCGTGAGCGCAGGGAAGAGTTGGTCAGGATTTCAGAGGATAAAGTCTCCGGCTCCCCAGTGCAGCGTATTTTGTGAAGGAAATTGAGTGAGTGGATTTCGAACAGCTGACGGGCGGTGGGCCAACCCAGTTCCTCTCGCACGTCCGATATGTGGTCAAATTTTCTTCGGCCAGACACAACGCGCAGCGCAAAATTGATGACTTTTTGGAGACGTTGTATGTTTTTGTCCGAGCCGTTTCCGTAGACCGAGAGACAATAACGGACGTGCGAGAGGACCAAGGCGCTGACCACAGTAGGCAGGAGTTCACTAGGGATGTGGTGACGCACGTGGGACAGCCCGATGAGAATACCGTTGCATTTTTGGACGAGGGCCGATACGTGAGAGTCCCAGGTGAGGTGCTTGTCAAAAATCACGCCAAGGTTCCTCACCGTAGGGCCCTCACGGATCGTGTCCTCACGGAACCGAATCAAGATGGGATCCAAGCCACGGCAATTTTGACGAGAGCCAAACATGATGAGTTCAGTTTTGTTAGTGTTAACTTTCAAACCGTTGGTATGAAACCAGGCGTCAAATGAGTCCAAAATTTGTTCCAAAGTTGCAATGAGATGAGGGAGGGAGTCTTTTTTGCCAGATAGTAAGATTTGAGTATCGTCAGCGTACTGCACCACGTGCGCCCCAGGGGCGTAGAGGGGGAGGTCATTGGCAAATATTTGGAACAGGAGCGGACCGAGCGAGGATCCTTGGAACACGCCGATAGGATTGGGTAGAGGATCGGAGAGGACTCGATTTCCTCGCCCGTCAGCTGTGCAAACAGATTGGGTATGGCCACGGAGGTAAGAAGAAAACCAGGTCGGATCGATAGAATAGGTTTGAAGTTTGGACAGAAGCTTTGCGTGGTCGATCACGTCAAAGCATTTGGAGAGATCGAGGAGACAGAGGAGAGTGAGTTCCTGTCGGTCGGTGGCAGAGAGGATGTGATCGGATACGGTGGCGAGCGCGGTTTCTGTGGAGAGACAAGAGCGGAAACCGTGCTGGGATGAGGAAAACAGATGGTTGCCAGACATGTAGGTGTACAGCTGCTGCTGAGCAACTTTTTCTACAAGTTTGGCAAAGGCAGGAACAATGGAGATAGGTCGATAGTTGGATGGATCAGTAGGATTACCGGCTTTGTGGATGGGGTAGACGATGGAGTGCTTCCAGGATGCGGGAAATTCACAAGTTGTGAGACAGGTGTTGACGAAGTAAAGGAGGATCAAAACATGAGGTGAGACGTCATCAAACATTGACTTAGTCAAGGCACATTATCATCTTTAAAGCGTCATAACCATTGAAGTTTTAGGCATTGAAGTTTTAGGCCTACCTATCACCATGAGACAAAGTGTGAAATGGAGGGAATAGATCAGGCATTAATTTGAGGATAACAATATTGACGTAATTAGCTAATTAATAAACTAACTTAAAATTCAAAAAATAAATTTTGATTTTCTGAAAAATGGGTACCCTTCGATGTTGCTGTTTTTTTTTACATATTTTATTCTCCCATACACTAGCTACATCATATAAAAATCCACAATGGGCCGACGTCTACGTAACTGTCTTTTGGATTTCGTAATGTCCGGCACTCGCGTGTTTCGTTTTAGCAACCAAGGAGAGGCGCTACCCGGAGATGCTTCTTTCTACCCAAAACCAAAGCAAACCTAGCCTGACCTGACGTGACCTGACCTAATCTAACACGCGTAAATATGTACAGCCCTCACGGCAGTTGCCGACTGGCCAAATGCTACTTAGATACGATTGAACATTAGCCCTCACGACATTTGCCGGCTGGCTAGATGCTACTTAAAAAACAAATGCGTGTTAAAACACTTGGGGCTGACCGGTCACGAGCCAGCCACCTTTAGATTATGAGGTGGGTACACTCGGCACACTAACTACTAAGCTACGAAGATAGCTGGTCATCGTGGAGATGTAAGCCAGTTTTTTTTTAATGATGCAATTAGGCATTCTCCGGGCAGCGCCTCTCTTTGGTTGCAAAAAGGAAATACGCCTGACTCTCCCAGCGCTAGGGGAGAAAGGCCCGGTTTAGCCAAAAAAGGTATAAAAAACGGAATTTGAATGGTAGGTGGGGCGGTGGGGAACTTTATTCGTGTGCCAATTTCATGACCCTAGATCAATATCTTCAAGATCAAATGAGGTTAATCGTGATGAAATTTGCTATAGTGACTATTTTGCGTTTATACGCCCATAGCTCTAAGAGGTACTGGCCGATTTTCCTATTTCTTCCTTTATACGACATTTGTAGTGTTATGAGAATCTCTTGTTAATGTAATCATAAATTTGGCAGTTAGTGGCCTGCTAAGAGTAAGACGTCGCCGGCAAAGGCGGGGATCGGCCGACGCGGGAAACGTTTCAGTCACAGATTGTGTTTGCACCCTAATAATTCAATTTTTACCAGTTGATTTTCGTATTTATTTGACCATTAGATTGCCTGTACATTTTTAAGCCTTCACACACAATTTGACACGAATCGATCATAATCAGCGGTAAGAAGCGCAGTGCAAAGATGGAACGGAACCGTCCCGCGCCGGCACAGTCTACCATTCAGGCGGCAACGGCCGGCGCCGGCCGCCGAGCCGCTCCGGCAAGATGTTTGACTTTACACCGCTATTGCTAGAAAAGTTGTGGACCGATTTACCTATTGCTTGCACGGGAGGATTTTCAATTCAATGCTGGACAGATGCTGAAAGTTTGACGTTAATATAATAATTATGGCGTGAGTTATTGGCGAAAAACAGGTGGGGTTGGCGAAATCCGTCCCTTCCATCGCCCGTGCTACGTTGCACTATACGTGTTGCTATATCATCCAAAGTTATCGTTGGCCCACTCTAATTTTCTCAGCACGTATGCCTTACGTGTAGTGGAAGACAATACTCGTATCTAAATTTGAGCAAAATCGAAGGGTACCCATTTTTAAGAAATTAGATTTTAAGAAATTAATTCAAAATAAAATAAATTCAAAATCACCAAAAATGTTAAAAATGCCAAATTTAACTAGCAAAACTCCTTATGTACACGTCTCAGTTTGTTTGAAATTAATAGCTTCAAAAATGTTGTAGCTATAGATCTTTCAAGATTGCAATAACCGTCCAATTCTGCTAAAAAAGCAGAAGTTTAGCGGCTTGTGTCTCTGTAGCCCGAGGGCATGTGACAAAATCCTTTGACCCTCAGAGGTTTCACCCAATAACCAACAAGTATACCAAGTTTGAACAAAATTGCAGAGGTGGCCGATTTTGGCTGTCCCGGTTGACATGGAATGCCCCGAATTCAACAAACTCAGCCATTTCTGAGAGCGCCCGTGTCGGTGCGTATCACGATCGCAGCATCTGGCAATATGCAGTGTTTATGCAGCGTTGAACGGTGAAGTATAAACCAACTCCCGACTAGCCGTATGTTTGGCTTTGAAATCGACCAACTCAGCTCAGCTCGGCCCTATCCAGCCTCAGCTGAAACACGGCCGTAGAGCCTACGGATCTATCTGACTGCAAGGCTGTCATCATCATGCTAGCAGCGAGATAACTCATTATATAGTCGAATGAATTTTATTGAAGTCCGTCTGCCCGCCTGTCCGCCCATCCGTCCCTCTGTCGGTCTACCAGTATGTCCGCTTGTCATTCTGTCCGTCTGTCCGTCTGACTATCAATCTGTCTGTCTTCCGGTTTGTCTCCCAGTCTATGCATGACTGTCTATTAGTGTTTGTATCTACCTATAGGCTATATGTCCGTAGGCCTGTATGCATGTTTCTGTCTTTCTGCCCCCAGAGCCCAGGCGTCGGCCCACTGTCGGCGCCGTGGGCGGCCACCATTCTACTGAAGACGCCCTCGGGGTACGCATTCGTCTGCGGCGGGGCGCTGATTCACCCTCGGGCTGTCATTACAGACGCTCGCTGTGTCCGAAGGTGAGGGGAGCTGAGGGATGGCGACTGATCATGTAAATTTTCGTAAGATGAGACGAGAGATTGGTACTTATTATTTCGGTAAAAGGATGCATGGAAGCGGTTTGAATGCGAAGACAAACTCGTGCACTAGAACATCACTAGGCATACGCGAGTTGAATTTCACATCAACATACAAAATATTGTACTCTCATAAATTGCGGCACGGTTTCAGAGGCCATCATCATTTCATAGAGGTCACTGCAAGTTGCGATTATTTGGACAGAAAGTTTATCTTTCAGTTGGTCTAACTGGCGGTGATTTGACACATAAACGGAAACGCTTCCTCACAGCCGAGGCCGATCCACCGTCCCATGAGCGCGAAGTTGATGGCCACACAGCTACCCATCCAGTCGGGGTCGTTCTCGTACCACATGGTGAAGTCGTAGTTGGACCCATCGCTCCACTGCCACTGTTCACCTTCGCCGGCACGATGTAGTCCCAGCCAGGCCTCCGTCTCATTCAGCAGCTGCTCGCCAATGAAAGCGTCCATGTCCAGGTCGTGGATTGACACAAGGTCGGCACCAGAGGCTTGCTCTGCGCAGAACTGGGCCGCTTCGCTCCAGGTGGCAGAGAAGTTGGAGCTCCGGTAGCAGAAGTCGCGGAACGGACGCCAGTCGTCCGAGGGACAGGCGCCGGCGGATGAGGGCCGGGGAAGAGCGGCGAAAGAGAGCAGCGTCAGATACAACCAACGCCACATGATTTCGCACTAGAACAGGTGTCTTGTCCGCGAAAATCTCGGGGATCTTGGTTTGCCTCTTTTGGAGCTCTGGTAAAAGGTCCGTCTGCGTTTCGCCAGCGAGAGTGTCGCGAACCTTATAATGCAAGCACCGCCAAGCAACTGGTGTGAGGAGCCGCCGCGAAGTCTTCAAGCGAACTGCACTTCCCGGTTCAAATGTGTCCGTATCTCAGGTGCAATGGGCTGCCCCAGGTGACCTGCAGAGGGCAGCTGGCGAGGTTCTGTGGGTCCGTGACAGGTGCCGACACTTTGACTGCTATCCGGCGATACTTGAGGGACGAGTGTTGCTGTGCAACATTAGGTCACCTATCCTTGCAGGGAAGGAAACAAGAGTTCGATCAATTTATTATTTTATCACTAACAGACGATTAGGTCGCCGTTAAGTAGGTCACGAAGTTCACATAGCCACATATTCCAGTGGAATGTCCTGAATAAATTGTCCATTGTCACGACTCACGAACTGTTGAGTAAGAACCAAGTGCAAGTGGTTGTGATTAAGTTTGGGATGCTTGTATTACGGTATACGAGATGCTTCATTTTTGTGTCTTTCTTTAGATAGCTACGAGTTGACCTTTCCAAACAAAGTTATGCTCACTTTGCCCACAGCGTGGATGAAGATGCGCTGGTCGTGCGTTTGGGGGAGGGTCTGGAACCTGGATCAGAACGGCCCGGTACTTACCAGGAAATAGCAGTAAGTAAGCTGAACGGACGGGCTCAATGGCTGCCAATGAGGAGGGACGCCAGAACGTTTTTAAAGTTAGGGATGGGGACAATGGCTTCACACCTGGTGTTCAAACATGTCAATCGACTGCATCTATTTTCTAAGAAGCGATATAGATGTTCCAAACGTTTTTTTAACGGTTCAATCACCCATCCTCTTGCTGTGTCTCGACGCTCTACATCAGGTGCTGAAGAAGATGTCGCGCCTGGATGAGCCGAACGTCCCCCGGCGGAGACAGGAGGTGGCCCTGCTGATCCTGAGGAGGCTGGCGAGGCTGCGGCCCGGTCTCGGTGCAGTCTGTGTGCGGTCGGTGCCTCCGCCGGCAACCGCCTGTCATGTGGCTACATATAAAACATTTATCACAGGTCAGTGACGTCTGACATCTAATGGTGGGGGCAAAGAGGAGAAGGCAGAGTTGATGTTCGACGTTCGTTGAGTTTTTACTCGTAAACTTTATTAAGACAGATTTTGTTTGAAGATTTCGAATTTTTTGAAGCAGTGTAATCAATTCCTTTCTAAGTTGATGCTGTTGACGGTACGTTTTCTAACCATTTCTATGCGTTTGAGTGCTGCCTTCTGACTTTCATCGACATTCCAAGCATCGGTAAAATCGCGCAGTTTCATTCGATCACATAAGAAATGCAACAGCAATTTTAGCAGCTACACATTGACCACTCCTGTCTCTCAGGTCAGACATGTTTTCCCTCCCTTGGTAAATCCTTTAGAGACCTCTGTTCGACCTTTGTATGACTGACCTCTCTCTCCCCGACAGGTCCTGCAGTGACGCGCGGCTGGCGACCATCCCCCGGCTGCCGACGGATGCTCTCTGCCTTCCCCGGTGACCCGCATGTGTCCGCGGACACTCCGTGTGCCGTGTGTCCGGAACTGAGTCCTAGCGGACACGGTAAAACCAGACAGGTGTCCGGAGCGCCCGTGTCCTGCCCAGACCCTCGCTCTGGTAGACACAGGCTGGTAGGGATCGTAGCGTGGAGTGGTAAGCGTGGTGGTAAGGGTCATCCCACGGAGTTCATACGCCTCCAGCCCTTCTACCGATGGATTGAAAATCACGTGACGCGTTATTTTCGGTACCACCACCCATACTTTGACCAGTTGCAAGAGTAGAGCAGGTTACGTGACTGCTGATTGCTATGGCGACTTGGGAAGGGTTCATGCGGAGTGAATGAAGCACTTGAATAGAACGAATTGAAACGATCTCCATTAGCGTCGTAAAGACACGTGTTAATTGTTCCGGGTTGCATCTGTGCATATCCATTCATTGACCGTCTGAGACTGTGCGATGAGAATGAGAAGGAATCTGCGCATCGATAGCTCCGAAGTACACTACACTCCTATCTAGCACCTCTCTACTTCACCCATACGTGCACACTGCGCCTTCTTTTTGAACCACCTGATCTGGAATCACCTGAATCAATGGACATTAAACACATTACATATATCTATCTGATGTGCATAACTCATTGTATTCCATGCATCATACAAAGCTCCAAGGGAGAGAGCACCGTGCATGTGCTGTGTGCATGCGACAATGTATTACGTTAGCACTAAGAGCGCTCCGTTCATCACTGGCCAGAAACGCGATCGATTCGGCGAACGACCGTGTGGCGCACATACACGACCGTCACTTTAGGGCCGTCGGGCCGGGTAGCGCGGTGACATGAGGGGCGTGACATTTGACACAACTGGGTCAGCGGAGGAGCTGATAACGATAATTACATAATTTAATATTGGACAGATTATTGTACGTTGATCAAAAAGCAAGTGTTTACATACCTAGTATCGGGTAACGCCCGTTCGGTCATTGGTGTATTTAGACTGATTGAAGGCAATGCACTGAAGGCATATGAGGTAAAATAACATCACCCGTTCAGTGGGCTGTGAATTTTACTTCTTTTTTTTTTTGCCTGTAAAATGATAGATATTCATAACTGTAACAAATGTAATAAGTAAATAAACAATGTCTTCTTCTGTGATAGTCTGTTTTGGGACCTCTTGTTCCAGCCGTAGGGTAGACCGGGGCAAGTCGCCCCGCCGCACAGTGGGGATTTTTCCGATCTAGCGCCTATTAATTCAAAAAAATATTTTTTGGATTTTGGTTTATTTTTTGTGTCAGTGGGGCTAAGAAATGTCTGAATTTTTCATATATGGCATTGTTTTATCTGTATGTCCACAGCAAAACTAGGAAAAATGCGCCCAAAGTTCACACTCATGCGTGATTACTCAATGGGCTCAGCAAGGCCCGAAAGTATAGCTCAATTTCATTGTCCTGTCCTATTGGTTTTAATCTTGCGAGGTCTTAAAGTTGCATATCGTCTGAAAGGCACCTTTATTAGGAATGGAATGGCAAACAGAAAGTATGCCACAACCTTACTAAGGTCACAAAAATGCCCTTTACAAAAAACCCCTTACAGACACCACATTGAAGGAATGGTATTCTAAATAAATGTAGGAAATCAACAATGTTCTCCACACTTTTCCACTCCGAAATATATCCTATCGAATTCGCCACTTTCTTCTGCACAAGACAAAGCCTAGTTTGGCTGCCGAAACTTGCCTGAACACGGAATATTCAAATTAGAGTATCTTAACACCCCACTCGAGGAGCGCTAGGGCAAACAGCACGATATAGGTATGTTCCGGACATAGGCGAATAATTTTACTTCGTGATTTATATGATGCATATTTTCTGAGACACATTCATTAGGAATAGGATGACAAACGTAAATTATACATACCGTAACCTTATTAACCATCGCACTTGTGGGGAGGGGGAGGGGGAAGGGGTCGGATAAAACCCCATCGTTTTCCGCAAATTACTCGCGCAAAAAGCGGCCGATCGCGCCGAAACTTTCGGTACCCTCGAGATCATCAATTTTACATCTAACCTAAAAATTTCATGACTCTGACCCAACTGACCTTTGACCTGTGGCATATTTCTCGAGACCATGTTTGGCCGGAATCGCGATTCGGCGTATGCCAGCTCACATTATCCGCGGTTTCCAGTCTTTTTGTGGTTTTAAACGTTCAAATATGTGAAATGATGTTGGTGCCATGCATAATGGTGGGTGTCAAGGTCACGTGAAGGTCAAGTCAAGGTCATTGACCTTTTGATGACCTTGGTTCACTTTTTCGAGTTTTACTTGTTTCTAGGGTAGTTTTTGGTGCTGATTTCGATTTTAGCAGCCATTTGAATATTTACGAAGTAGTTCTAGTGCCTTCGTTCCATGTTACGAAGCTATCAGTAGTAGGTGACACTTCTATGGATGGCCGGCAGGGCGCCTACTAATTGATCTAACCTGACCTGACCCGACCTGGCCTAAATGCATAAAGACATCGTCTGTGATCAAAACTAACATGAAATTCGTGATCACACCCCAAAATACCCCGTAACACCCTAACTTTGCGAAGTTTCAAGAGGTCTCGATTTCCCAACTTTAGTTGGGTCATTAAACTGACTTGGAAAGTCAGCTTATGACCTTGGACTTTGAAATTGGATATATTCGGCCTCATTTCGTCATAGGCAGCACGCTTGACTTTTCCGCGAAGCTCTAGCTTGATCAGGGGCCAAACGGCTGAGCGGGGGGTCCAATTGAACCCCCTATACTATGTTGATTATGCACATTTACAGGTAAAATTCTCACCAGGACACACCAGCCAACATCTGTGCACAATCTGGCTACAATTCTACCTATCGTTTGCCCTCTACGAATAAATACGTGCTAGATCGGAAAAATCCCCACTGTGCGCCGAGGTAAAACGCCTCACCGATGTTTCTCGGAACTGGCAGGGTTCTAGGGAAACATCATCTCTTCTATAAAACGTGCACTATATGATCATTATATGAGCAGACTGGAAAGAAATTGTGATGACTCTTTCGGGAGATATAGCTAAAAATGTGTTTTTTGAGTGATTTTTATGTTTTGTTGTCAGATTATGTATCATGGCGTTCTTTTATGGTCCACATTAGGTTAACGACTTTTATGTATTTTGAACAACTATTGTCTAACGCTTATCATGCCGGGTTGGTTCGTGTTAAATTATGTCTTGCTGGAGTGCAAGGCCTTGTTCTCTGACCGAACTACGTGATGGGGTAAAACGCCCCAGTAGGTCGCGGGGCAAAAAGCCCCTGGGGCGTTTTACCTCATGTGTTGTTCGGGCTACCCACTTTCTAATGTTCGGTAGCTGGCGAACAGTAAGTTTCTATGCCTTTATGTGTACTTTTCTCAGCAACTGGATGGCAAAGGAAGTATTTTGTTTACATTTGCATTGCAATAATTTATTATTTGGTCTTATGAGGTAGGTGAAAAACCTGCTCATACAATAGTGTCATAGCTGAGCACCTGACAGGATGGAATGTGCTAACTTCAGTGCCGTGCCTCCAGAGGTCTAACGGACCTCCCACATAAGATTTAGCCAACTACCATGTTAAATCTTTAATATAAAGTATGGGGCTACTTGCCCCAGGCCGTGGGGCGTTTTGCCCTGGGGTTGGGGCAAAATGCCCCATTTGCAGTTGCTTCACAAATCACTTCCTAGCTTGGAGTCCGATCATAAGTGGATCAATTTGAGGGGTGCAATTTGAAGTAAAATGTCCAAAGAACGCATTGAGCACAAATTTAGCCTTCCAGGTGATGTGGGACAAAATTTATGTAGCAAAATAAATTATCTGGGGCGTCTTGCCCCAGGCTACCCTATAACCAACACGGTTTTTCTTTTCTTCAAGTATGTATTGCAAATTTGACGATAGAATCCAAAAGTAATAAACAGTCGGCCGAGACTTTGAATAACGATACGTCAGGCCACTACAGCGGTTGGCTTTCGAATGAAGCTTTCACAGCTCCTGCTCGGCGTTCGGCGTCGGCCGCTACATTCAAACGTCATACACACACGTCATACATATAGATGTACGTCATATCATAGCACCAATCAGAAGCGGGCAAGGACAGGCGTCGCAGGTGAGGAGTGAGGACCATATAAGGATATTGTAAGTGGGCGAGGGGGCTGGGCAGTAAGTAGGTACAGAGGGAGGTGGAGGACGGGGTAGGAACGAATTTCGTTACAATAACAAAAATGGATTGCATGCGACTGCAACCACAAAACGACGATGCCTCTGCTCCAACACACATCTAACCGTCTACATAGAATGCTACCCCTCCCCACACTACCTTTCAGGCGACATTTGTTAGGTGTGTTTACCAGTCACTTGCGTCAATGGATCGCTGGCCCTTTCTACCAACACAGAATATGACGCTGTGGAGCTACCCCACCTCAGTGTGCTACCAGATGTGGAGACTCGGCCGGTGTGTTTATACCACTGTCTGTGTATATACATTGGAAAATACTGACCGCCTGGTCTGGAGGGCGGCCGGTCACTGTCCACCCCAGAGGGGGGGGGGGAGAGGTATATAAACTCCCCTGTCGGCAGAGCGAGGGGGCAGTGTGGCGGAGCAACTGGTCGGCGTTTGAAGAAACTCAGCTACTCGTAAGTGAAGCGGGAGGGTCAGATTTTGAAAGACATTTTCATGTCAAATCTTGCATTCAGTACTGACCATATGAGATGTAATCAGACCTAGAGTAAAGACTATTACCTAGATTTGGACGTTAGGCATATTTCTCAGCAAAGGCGTTAACAATTGATACCCAGATCTAACAGTCATGGCCTCATTCCTACTCCACCAAGCAAAACATATTCTGTCGCTCACGTGCATTGCAGTAGGTGAGAGCCGTTTTCAGATATCGGCATGAGCTGCTTTTTTGCCATCGGCACTGACAATTTGCATTCGTATTAGTTTGAAATTGTATGTAAACTGCGCTCATGTGAAGCCAATGCACAATGCTTAATTTCAATACGAGTTTTTGTTGGATTTTTTTTTTAATCATAGAACCTAAAAATTCACATTAGACAACACTTAAAACAGATATTCAGCACTGATATTCCTTCTTCGCAATAAGAAACCTTTTTCAAGTTGGGCCAAAAAACGTTCACCGAAAAGGTTATTAACATTTATTTTTGAACTTGTTTAACGTTTACTTGACCTGTATCGACCTTACTTGGACCTATATTTAGTCTATTCATTACTTAACGACTATCACGTTTGCATAAGGCAAGTAAATTGACCAATAAAACATGTTTCGCACGAGACATTTCATCTTACAGCCCGTTTAATGTTCAAAAATGGCGGCGGAAAATAGTTAACTGATAGAGAATCTAAAAAAAAAACATTGAAACAAACTTGAGCAAAAAATAGCCAGCTTGATGCGCATGTGAAAAGGAAAAAAACGCTCGCCAGCGCTAAAAATGACAACATCACACGTTTCCAGGTCTGCTCGTCCGGCCATCATGAGGCTGTTGCTGATGGCGCTCTGCGCCGGGCTGGCCGCCGCCCTTCCCACGGCCTACGACGCCGCCCAGAACGAGGTCGGCACCTCGGAGGTGTTCCAGCAGACCAGGCAGGAGGCGTCGCACTCCGTCCAGGAGACCTCCTACTTTTACAGCAACGAGGGCGAGAGCATCATCGAGATCACGGTGGCCGAGGCTCCGGCCTACAACCTGGTGTGCATGCCGTCCAAGGAGCTAGTGGAATCCGCCCAGGTTATCGTCCAGGAGACCGTTGACGAGGAGGAAGCTGCCGTCTCTGCAGCTGCTGGAAGCGCTGCCGCCAGCGCAGCAGCTTCCGAAGGTGCTGCCGCCTCGGCTGCCGCTGGAGAAAGCGCTGCTGCTGCTGCCGCTGCGGCTGAGAGTGCCGCTGCTTCAGCTGCTGCTTCTGAGGGTGCCGCTACTTCAGCTGCTGCTGGCGAGGCTGCTGCCGCCTCAGCTGCTGCTGCTGAAAGCGCTGCTGCCTCGGCTGCCGCTGCCGAAGATGCCGCTGCCGCTTCAGCCGCTGCTTCTGGGGGCGCTGCTGCTTCGGCTGCAGCCGGCGAGGCCGCTGCCGCTTCGGCTGCCGCTGCTGAAAGCGCGGCCGCTTCGGCTGCTGCAGCTGAGGGTGCTGCTGCTTCGGCTGCTGCTGGCGACGCCGCTGCTGCCTCAGCGGCTGCTGCTGAGAGCGCTGCCGCTTCAGCTGCCGCTGCCGAAGACGCTGCTGCTTCGGCTGCTGCTGCTGAAGGCGCTGCTACCTCGGCTGCTGCCGGCGGGGCCGCTGCTGCTTCAGCCGCTGCTGCTGAAAGTGCTGCTGCCTCGGCTGCTGCCGGCGAGGCTGCTGCTGCCTCAGCTGCTGCTGCTGAGAGCGCTGCTGCTTCCGCTGCCGCTGCCGAAGGGGCTGCTTCCTCAGCAGCCGCTGGCGAAAGCGCTGCTGCTTCCGCTGCCGCTGCCGAAGGGGCTGCTTCCTCAGCAGCCGCTGGCGAAAGCGCTGCTGCTGCTGCCGCTGCTGCCGAGAGCGCTGCCTCTGCCGCTGCCGCCGCTGAGGGCGCTGCGGCCTCAGCAGCCGCTGGTGAAGGTGCTGCGGCTTCGTCTGCTGCTGGTGAAGGCGCTGCGGCTTCGTCTGCTGCTGGTGAGGGTGCTGCTGCCTCTGCAGCTGCCGGAGGAAAGACCGAGACTTCTGCTGCTATCTATGTCGAGGAGTACGTCGGCCCCGACCACCTGGAAGCGTGCACCTGCGTGCCATTCTACCTCTGCAAGGACGAGAACATCATCAGTGACGGAGCCGGCCAGATCGACATTCGCTTCGGAGCCGGAGCCGGGCCCTCCAACACCAAGTGCCGGCACTTCGAGTCGGTGTGCTGTCTGCACCCGGAGCTCCGTCCTGTGCCGGAGATCGTTGCCGAGCTGACGGCCGAGCCGTACTACCCGAGCTGTGGACGTCGCAACCCGGAGGGCATCGGATTCGCCATCGAGGGCTTCAAGGTATGTCACGCTTAGCATAAGGCATCTGCATATAATTGCTGATACGGAATGACCGTTATTCATAAGGGTTCGGAAGGTGTGGCTCCCCTGATAGCATAACGAAAGAATCATCCAGGGCATAACATCGTTTGCAAAACTTCAACCAACCTCTTGCAGAGTGTGTCCGTAACTACTAGCAGAAAGTTTGTCCTCTTGTGACGTCTAGTAACGGTTTCCTCCCAAGCGTGATTCGTCTGATCTCGACTAGTTGAGCAATCCTTATCCGCGCTTACTCGCCATATTGTGAGAAGTACCAAACCAAACGTCCCTGAGCGTCGCGATCCTCTCGAGCGACGTGTGTCTGACGCCCCCTCTCACCGCCTTAGGACTCGGAGTCGCAGTTTGCCGAGTTCCCGCACATGGCCATCATCATGGAGGAGGAGTACATCGGAGGAGAGCTGCGTCACCGTTATGTCTGCGGAGGATCCCTGGTCACCACCAACATCATCCTCACGGCCGGACACTGCGTAGCTGGGTGAGATACAGATTTGTTGTGTGCTTGGACTTGTGGCATACCAGCATTAAGGCCGAATTTGGCAACACGAGTCTCCGTGACCCGCAATCAAAGACAATTTGAGTTTATTTAAAGGTTATAAACAGCGAATTATAAATCTTGGGAACACTTTTGAACAGTGTGACAGCTGTCTTGAGCACATCGTGCGGCTGTTCATGAATTCTGACCGCACTTATTTTTCGGGCTTTTACAGGAAGGACGCCAGTAAACTACTGGTGCGTCTCGGAGACTGGAACACCAAGACGCTCACGGAGCTGCTGCCCCACCAGGAGTACCGCGTAACTCGGTCCGTGGTACACGAAAGACTCAACAAGAGGACGCTGTTCAATACTGTAGCGCTGCTCTTCCTCGAATCAGAGGTAAGCTGTTCGAGGTTTTCAAAGCTGTGGATGTCTTTCAACTGTTTTGATGGTCGCAATCACTATCGCCATCAAGCGCACGACTCGCTGACTTTCAATCCATTACGCGCATGACGCGTTGACTTTCAGTCCCGCTGACTCCCGCCTTCCGCTCCGTTTCCGCAGGTTGAGCTGCAGCCACACATCGACACCATCTGCCTTCCCTCCTTGGCGGACGTCAGCTCGGGCGTTCCCTTCTACGACTCGGCGCACTGCGTCGCTACCGGTTTCGGTCGCGACCAGTTCGAGGGAGGTCAATACCAGAACATCATGAAGCAGGTAGACCTGTCGGAAGTCTCTCACGACGACTGCCAGGACAGCTTGCGGCGTACGCGACTGGGCCGCTGGTTCCGGCTCCACAAGTCGTTCACATGCGCCGGTGGAAAGCCGGGCGTGGATACGTGCAGAGGCGACGGCGGATCGCCGCTTATCTGTCCGCTTCTGTCGGACCCCACCAAGTACGTTCAGGTCGGTATAGTGGCCTGGGGTATCGGCTGCGGCCAGCGCGGCGTACCTGGTGTATACGCCAGCGTCAGTCAGCTCCTGCCGTGGATCCTGGAGCATATGACCGTCGGCGGCGTCAGCGTCGTCGAAGAGCTCGTTGAAGAGCACGAGGCGGTTCAGGTGTGTATCACCAAGAACCCGTTCACCGAGGCTGAGTACCAGGAGCAGATTCCGATTAAGGTCGGGCCGGTGCCTCATGATGTGGAGCACTTTGAGCAGCAACAACAGGGGACTGGCTACTAGACCAGCTGCGTCCACCTATGACGGCCACGCAGAGCCACCATCAGCAAACGCTGGGAAGACTAAGAGCGAAGCAGAATGCTCCCAGACGTGGCCCCCGCTGTAATCGGAAGGCCAGACGGTGCGGGGTGCCGACGACGATAAACGATATAAATAAATAGGTACATAAACGAAACAGAAAACATATCGTTTTTACGTCGTCGGTAAATCCGCTTCGTCCGGGTATGTTTTGGCAAAGATGTGACACATGTTTGGTAATTTTACGTTTTGAATGAATGCAATAAATGAGGAGCAAGCAGCTGTCTGTCTACATAGGTAGCCAGGTAGTGCATACCTTTGTATCAACGTAAGCTGAGGCAGGCAGAATCAATACCAGCATGCCGATTAGATGTAATGACCACTTTATGTAGCCTTGGGCCTTTCGACATTCACAATAACACGCACTTGCGTGAGAATGTAACGTTTAGTAAATGAACAACAAGCATTACACGAAAAAAAATAGTTCAATTGAGAAACATACGTCTTCAAGAAGCACTTCAAACGGTTTCATGAAAATTAAGTGCTTGAGGCACGTCGTAGGGTGTTATGTTTTTATAAACAATGAAAAACTGACTTCCCTTCCAGAAAGGACGGGCAAAAGTGGATTATAAACTAGGGGATACACACCCTTTATAGTTAACCGTACAGTTTACTTGTTCAATACTAATCAATAAGCCTAAGAAGTGCCCGGGCGGGTCGTCGCAGGCCCAGATGCACGTTCTACCGCAGCGGTTAAAACTATGCATATTCCGGTCTGCATATGAATATGAGCTAACGCAGACCTCGGCACATATATATGCCCATGGAGCTATCAGCCTCTGTAGTGACTGGCTTTATAAATTGCTCAGCGAACTCAAACTTTCTCATGTAGATAGGCATATTTCAGCCCGACCATCGATTCCAACAGTAGCTTTGGACATCCCAGCCCGCCCCACGCCGGCCTCCTCAGCACACAGCTACTGAAAACACCAGCCCTGGCCTCAGTGGTCTGCCAGGCCGTGGTCAGGGTGACCCCAGCCCTGTGTTTATATTAAATCTGACCGGTTGCCACGGAGCCGACCGCTGGCTGTCGACTGGCCTCTGGCCGGCAATATGGCTGACGGTAATGTGTAATGTGTATGTTTGGAGATACCACGTATATACGGCGGACGCGCCTGATCGGTAACACAGCCCACCAGAGCTATGCCGAGGTTTTTTTGGAGATCCACTGCAGGGGATCCGACATAATCACAGTCCACATACCTACATCTGGGCAGCTTCTGCCAGCGAAACAAACATAAAATACTGTAAACATAATAAATAATGTAGGGTTTTACCAATCTCAACGATTGGCTTTGACTGGCGATTGTTTAATGCGGAGTGATCGAAAAGAAGATGTCAGTAGCTAAAATTACAGCTGCAAGGGTGACGATACATATAAGCTACATTCAAAGTTTCATTGTAGTCTGGCTAATCGTTCCTAAGCTTCAGAAGCAGAACATACCCATGACTGAAACCCCACATTACTTTTGCTGTGGACTGTACGTTCCTGTTTCATTTATATACGCATGTGATAAGCATAAGACTTTATTAAATAGAATTAGAGTCGGCATTTAAAGAGAGTGACTTACAACATTTATAAGGACAGATGACGTTATTTATACCTAAGATGGTCAAGTAAAGGTAAACATACATTTTTGAACAACTGGTTGACTTACTAGGATACAGGCAAACGTTTCACATAGACTCGTCGAAGATATGCAGCCTGAATCGATCTTACCCGTATAGTACGATTACGATTCCGTGCCACCCACTTATAGCTAGCTAGCAGTTAGCACTGATAAAAACCACAAAAAAAGCCATCCAATGTTCGGCGCTGGTACAGCGATGGTTCCACAAGGTCTGCCTGGTGACATTCACTTGTTCACGGCGTTCCATGTGTAGTGCTGAGATAGACATCAGAGAAGATTCAGTCGATGCTGAGAAAACGTTCAATTGGTAAATGAACGTTGAAAATAAATGTGCCTGCGCCTTGTAAATAAATGTGCCTGTGCCCTATGTATCATTTCATTAGTTACTTATACCTACGCAGTACCATGGCGCCGGCATAAGTCGGTGGGAACAATAAAAGCGAAATCAAGGCAAACGCCCTTTTCAGGAACAATTCATTTCAGTCCACCCCAGGACTGGCGGCGGATGCCCTCCACTTTTCCCTGGTATCCGACCGCAATGTTGACGCTGGTTTGAGACGGTTTGGCTTGAGCCGGGTTCGCGTCAGCCGGGCCTCTAGCGCCCACCCGCCGTAACATCCAGAAGATGAAACAATCCAGCAGCTCCAGCAGTGACAGCAGCGATGCGCCCAGGAAGATGCCCATGTTGCCGCCACTCTCTGCCACCAGCTGTGAGAACGTGAAGCTCCACTTGTCCTCCAGCACCTCCTGCTGCATGGAGAGCCACAGCGCGACTCTGGCCGAGCGGCGGCTGTCCACGGAGTCCTCCAGGGCCATCTTCTCCGGCACCTGGATCGGATACGAGATCTCCGTGCATTGGAACGGACAGCTGCACAAAAAGTAGGCGGCCATTACCTCATATTCGGTGAACTGACTAAGGTCTGGAGAGGACTTCAGGGCCGACCTCAGAGCCGAGTAGGATCTGCAAGGTCGCCTATCGTTAGAAATCTCCCAGGGGAGAGTGCAGTTGGCAATCTCGCTGTCGTCGATGTCTTCGTCGGCCAAGGTGTCATTTCCCGATTGTTCCAACTCGGCAGTCAGTCCCTGATCCTGTATGATGCAATCCATCACGCAATCGGCATTCTCTTCGGCTGTGACATTGTCCGAACAGGGCTCCTCAGCCGTGGAGATGTAGGTATGAGAGCGACGGTGCACGCGAACGTAGGACACGGTACCTGGAACCACCTGGACGAGACTCAGGGAGCTCTTGACGAGCATGCGAGCGTCGTCGAAGTGAAGCGACTCTGGGTGGAGAAACACCTGCCAGTACTGCTCACTGGAGGTGCTTGAGGCGGGAGGCAGCTGGAGGTCGATGGTAAGCTGAGGCTTCGTCCAGGTACCCGTCGCAGGCGTTTTCTGGTGCAGGGTGTAACAGGTGCCTTGCTGGCTTGTGACCGAACGGGTTACATCTCCGACAGACTCGCAAGCATCGCCCTGATACTCGCAGCTTTTCACCAACTCCGACCAGTTGTGAGAGGTCTGCGAGAAGAACTCGTCAAAGTTGAACTGGCGCCAGCGGATCAGTTTGTAGCGGCTCATGTGTTTGATGCTGCGCCACTGCTCGACGGTGGTGCCCGGCTGCGTCAGGTTGAGCACCCTGTCGACGTTCAGTCTCTCTCCGGCGCAGACGGTGACAGCAGGGAACGGCAGCTCCAGTTGGGTGCTGCTGCGGGCGGTGGTCGACACAGACTGATGCTGCAGACGCAGTACACTCAGCCTCACTTGCAGTACCAGCCAGAACAGCGCTGTGGCCAGGGCGATCGCCCAGATCAGCCGGCGCAGCCAGTGGGCCGACGGACTCAGCACCACGGGCAGGCCGGAAATGCCGACTTCCGCCGATGGGCCCGCCACCCAGCGGCGACCGCCGCAACTACAGCCGCACGGCATCACCGACAGACGCCGAGCTGTGGCTGACTGATGTCGGCTACCTGAAAACTAACAGGTGGGGCGTTCCACGACAGATCGACCAAGCCATAACACCCTACCTCTCAGATTTTGATGAAATTGCGTCTATGGGGTTATCCGTACCGTAGATTCATAATCTCTTATTTTTAGCGTTATACTACGAAGGGTTTACGAGTTATAGCCAGAGGCATTTTTCAAAATGCCCAGAGTAACCCTCTTTTAAACTCGTATTATCAAAAAATATAGCCAGTAACCTACATTAATATGCATATCATTGGAATCCTCATTGACAGTAGAAAATTATCCAACCGAAATATTTTGAAAATTTTCAAAATCGCAAGATTTTTTGAAATAATGAATTTTTGATTTTCGATTTTCAAAAGGTGGCCATTTAATTTTTGACAAAAATATTATGCCAAAAGATGCTTCTGGATATGGAAATTTAACGTCCAAAAAATTAGAGACATGTTTTGCCTTTAACTTTTTATATAATTTTTTGTTTACGACAATGTTTGTAGTAAAAGGGAACATTTGGTGATGCCTTCCAGAGCCAATCATTCTCCTACCCACATATCCTCGAACTGTTTCATGAAAATTAGAAATAAAAGCCTGGCACTCACACTCACAGACCAGGCATGCGATTATTGAATGATGTTTGCTTCACTTTCGCTGTAGTTTCGAACATTGTTCAGGCAAAAAAAAAGTGAGCTGAACACTGATATCGGCCGCCTCGCATGTAATTCTGATATGCTTCTAAGCAGCTTGCACTGGTGAAACGTTACACTGGCGGATACAGGGGGTAGGGCCATGCTCCCCCCAAAGCCCGTTTACCCCCCCCCCCCCCGCAAAAACCCGAGTTTTAACATCGCGCCTATGGCGGTGCATGGAAAGGAAGGGGCCATTTCGGCCATTTGCGCCCCCCCCCAAAAAAAAAACGTCCGGCTCGATCCGCCAATGAAACGTTAGGAATTATCAAAATTGCTAATCGGACATATTAACCGTGTTTACATAGGGTTCCCTTAATCTTCCCCTATTTGTCTCTTAAATGTCCCTTATAAAGGAATCCTCTGTCTCCTTTACCTCGCTTCACTACAAATATGGCGCAACTAAGTCATTCTAGAAGCAGTTTGCAATTTTTACTTACCTTTAGGGCTCTCCCAAATAGCTTCCAGACTAGACACTGAGGTAAAAGTGATAGCACATGAAAGCTCAAAGCAAGAAAAATCAGAAAACTATCTGGCATTTAACATACTTTAAACGGCTGAGCTATTATTCAAGTAGGTGTAATCACATCAACGGCAATATCAGAACACCGCACCTGTCGAATTTCTGCCTTGACTTTCTGCCGTTTATGCGTTAATGCCACTTAAAAATCCTCAGTCGGCGCACGTGCGCTTGTCGAGTCGGGGACCACCAGTCGGACGATTCGGAACTGCCGGCCAATCAGCACGCCGCTTTTGTGATTTGGTAGTTTGAGAACCACTGGATATGGTAGCGTAGCAGCTTTTGGAAAGGCGCTACGCTACCAAATCCTCCCCTATTTGTCGCTTAAAGAGGGAATTGAAGGGCAGGATAAAAATACTTCAAAATATGAATTGTTGAATTTCGAGTATTAAATAAGCTCAATTTATGTTGTTTACAGCATAAACGATGCTTTGTATGCTTCTAGCAACAATAGCGCCCATAGCAACGTTACACGCGATCGCTATGATGCCTAAAATTCGATCTGAAAATAGGGGAGAAATAGGGGAAGATTAAGGGAACCCTATGTAAACACACCTATTGTGGCCGGACATATACATACCTACACAACTTCCGTTCATAAGAGCCGAGGCTGTGTTAGAGTTAAATGAGGAGAAGGCTCTAGCTAGTAATCGCATGAAGTTCGCTCTGTCCTTGTAATAACGGACTTTCAGTAATTTTGATGAATAAATTTGCCACAAAAAAATTATATGAGTACCAAAATGCGGCATTTGAAGGTAATTGATTGCAATTGCCAGGGGCGTGACCAGGTCAGAGTGGGCGGGGGTGACAAAATTACAAGTACTTGAAAACTCGCCGATATTGAATTCTGTTTTCTTGAAACTGGAAGCATCTCTAACGTTTTGAAATTAATGCATTTCGAGGTAGCTAGTGGCTTGGGATGCTCCATGTTTCACTAACATTCACTTTCATAGTATTTTTATTTCCACCCGGCCGAAGGGGAGGGTTTGATGTGCAGCCCCAACGGTTTTCTCGATATTGTTTGCAGTGGTGTAAGTCTGGAGAGCTGAAAGTTGACATTCCGAATCTGTTGACACCAACAGAACAGGCTCAGGTCAGCTTACTGACATATGACGTCACAAATAAACCTCGGAATAATGCAAAAAGTTGCAGCTTTGCACTGTACTCTCAGTGTAAGGGAACCTTTTGCAGGGGATGACACAAGTAACGGCAGTAACGGCTCTTGAGATTTCACAACATCAATTCCCCTAACTTTCCTAAATTTTTACCCGAAGTCAAGCTGGTCACGTGACTTCACTAATATAAGTCAATGGGAAATATTGAAACATTTGAACTGTTATTTGGATGCCGAAAATGATCCAAGCCCATCTCAAACGCCTGTAATCGTGATTTCATACACTTTTGCGATGAGCGATTCTTAGGTTTTGCATTGAGGACCTTGCAATGCGCCGTCTTTGCCGTTACATTGTACGGTCGTGTGAGGTCATCGGTTTTCTTTTTGTCAATGACTGAATGGAATTTATCTAACGAGTCGAATAAGCCACCAGTGAACTCAGGGAACCCTGCTGAACTGAATCATATACGGCAATAGCCGTTTTCACGACGGTTATCTGACACACATTAACTGATATTTGATGGGATTTGGTCAAATTTGGTTCATAGTTGATTCTTAATTGTTTTTAGCTTAGGTTGCGCTAGTTGCTTATTGACCTTATTTATCAAATTATCAGTCGTTACTTTTTACTCAAGCATAAGAATAAAATTACGTTATGAAAATAGCTGTAGTAAAAGATTTGGCTAGATTCGTCGTGAAAACGGCTGAAATGGCCTCATTTGAACAGCTTCTTGACCTCAGCGGTTTTGATGTGGCCTCGACCTGAGGAAAACATCTTAAGCTGACCTCTTCCAAACCAAGTTTTATCATTCCGGCAACCGGTAACCTCTGAGGTCAGGTCAAATGCCTTGAGGCAGGGATCCAATTTTCGGTCAATAAATCCCTTAAATGGTCGCAGAACCGTCATTTCGGTATCTGGCAAAATATTTCAGGTCCCGAAACTGGTCAATTGAGATAATACCGACCTACGGCAAAAGTATCTGTCGATTCGACAGCTCATTCTCAGTACATTGATGTCCCTCCCCTCAATGTCGTCATTTTGTTAGGAATCTATTAACGAAAAACTCTCGACTCAATAAGCGTTAGTGACGTCATAAATGACGTTGCGTCATTATGACGTCATGCAAGGCCCACCAGCAAAACTAAAGCATCGGACCTTGCAAAGAATGCGTGAATTACATACGTTCTCTCCGTAAACTATTGTTTGGCGTTTCGCAATAGTAACATTTTTATGCATTAGATAGGCTCACTTACGTGACGTCATAGTTCAGTAAAGTGACCTTATATGAAAGTTCATTTGGTATCACAAGATAAATCAACTAGATAACTTGTAATAACTTTCCGGCTTCAGCACTCTATCGCCAATGCGTCCCCAGCAGTGATGAGAAAACCGTCAAAGGTGATTAGCATTCGCTCCCTCGGCCACAGGGGGTTAAACCTCGCTCTCTTGAAAACAATACGCCATTATGACGTTTTTGGATCTTTGGGTCCTAACTTAGCTTTCTTAGGTGTCTTAAGCATCTTTAAAAAGAATTAACAGCGTCGCAATGAGCTCTTGATCACATTTCACCGTACTCCGTTTAGACCGGTTGACAGTTATTGTTATTTTTTTTCACTGTACGACGAAATTCAATGTTGTATAGCGACCTTTAGGGGAAAAACATGTTTTTAATATTTTCATCATTGAAAGGCAATACGTTGACAAGACTTTTGCTGCAAAAATAAATTGTAAAAAAAGATGGCCACGTTCTCAAAATTTGATTTTTATAAATCAATTTTATGTTAAAAAATTAAAAGAGCAAAATTTTCAAAAATAATTGATATCACCAAAATCTTTGGTTAAATCTTATTGTGATGATATGCAGTTTTATATGAATCTAATCAGTATTTAGCTAAATATTTGCGGATGAAACTTAGAGTTTTTATGGTAGCCATTAAGTTGCCTGGGGCAATATCTCCCAAAGTATTGGACGAATGAGATTGAAAATGTCACAACACGAATCGCCGGACAAGATAACCCCATAGACGAAATTTCATCAAAATATGAGAGGTAGGGTGTTATTTCGCGATTTTTTTGGTCGATCTGTCGTGGAACGCCCCAGGTATGAGGTAGACAAAGGAGGGCTAAGGCACAAGAACTTAAACTAGAAAGTACTAAGACACAAGACGGCGACTTCCCTGAAACTAAATGTAGGCTGATTCCATGAGACTGATTGACATCCACAATGTAGGTGTAAAAGACAACCAAGTAGGTAGGTAGGTAGGGTAAGGTGCCTAATTAGCGACCCCCTTAATTTGAACCGTCATTGCTCACGCTATGTGGGTGCCACTATATTACTGGCTTGATTTTCGGAGAGATCGTTCATTTTTCTATTAAAATATAGTCATTTTCTGCCCCAATATTCACTAACTTATTTGTAGTGAGCATTTTGGCAAACCATTGCAAAAAACGCTAATAGGGAACTCTTCCCGATTAGCGACCGGGGAGGGTCGCTAATAAGTCTATGGGTTTCCCCATATTAAAAATGGCAAAAAATGCGACGCCTGAAAAGATGAAATATGATCTCAAAAAGGTAAACTATACGCAAAGCACTCAATTACTCGAACAGGAACGTTTATCCAACACATTTGCGTAAGTAAAAACTGATCACGTGACGCACCGAAGGCGAAAAGAAGGCGGAAACCCAAATTTTGCGGGCTATCTCGTATGATATTCGAGGTCTGCGCTGAATTCGGCACCCCTGCAGTCGGTGACGACATTTGGCATCCCCTGCCACACATTGCAAGCTTCAGCAACACCTCATTTTCATTTCTCTCTTTTCCCCTTTCTTTCCCTTCTTGAGCTATTTGCGACCATGTCAGGCGCAAATAGGAAATATGAGTTGCGACACATTTTTAACCGTCATGCTGTACACAGCTGAGCGATTCACTATGGAAAAACGGCAATCAATTGAAAAAGGAATGTCGATTCAGAATAATAAAGGTGCATCATCCTAATGTGCATCGCTTTTCATCAGAGAGGGCCCAAACATACACGTTTTTGATAAGAAACTCGTCATTTTTAAACTCACCTGAAACGTCCAACCAGAAATATCGACGACCGGAAAATAATTTAATTTGATAACCAAAGTATGGCTGACCTTTTGACGATATTTTTACCCCGTTTTCCAGAGGTGAAAAAAGGTGTCAACTCTCCAACCGGTGTTGGAGACAGAGTCAATCCAATAAAGGAAGGTCGTCGGAGACACAACCACTTTGATATCTAACAATCTCGTTTCATTGTTGTCGTCAAATTCTTCTCGTTTTATTTGATGCACGCAAAAAAATCAATCATATTGAGTCTTAGTTCATTACGAGAGCTTCATACTCCACAGCACAGAGCACTATATACACTATACAGTATACATAGGCTGCCCCGGAGACACCGGAGACAGAAGGTGGTGAGAAGGTGATGACTCCTAGAGCCGGGCGGAATTCATAAAGACGATTCTCTGTGACGCTTGCCGCGAAACTAGACCTTACGGCTGTCTCCGGAGACACGAAAAAAATTTCAGTAGCGAAAACGCTAGCACAAACCCTGCGCACTTGTGACAACGCGGCGCAGCTTCTGAAAATACCGTTGGGATAGTAGCGCGACAGTGAAATGTGCTTGAAGTGACGGAAGAAAGTGGTTGGATCTTAGTTGGATCTACCTAGGTAAGAATAAAATAAGACAATGGTTGAGGTTGGGGAATAATTATCGAAGTTGAGGAATCAATAGGTACCTACTGAGGAAATATCGAACTTTTCAAACAAAAGTAACATATATTGTACAAAATCCCTTGTGGATGATTTTTATTATATAGTTGATGCAGAAACAGTCTTTTTCCTTTCATTTGTTTTATATTTCAGTTCAAAGTTCAGTTCTGACTGATTTAGGAACGTTAGGCGGCACGGGCGGACATCGATAGCAGCGCCTCTATCGGTCACTAGGGAAAGCTGGGCTGTAGGCGACGAAATACCGGCTGAGTTGTCACACGTTGAATAGGTTTATAGACATCCGTCTTGTGAAAAAGTTGAACTTTTGCCTTCAATATTTCTACAGGCAATTTTAGAAGTGTCTTCACATAGATTACAAAACCGTTTAGATTATTGTATTCACTTCAAGCCTTCCCTATTGTTCTTGACGATGATGCAGGAACTATTTCTAATTAGTGTTTCTAGCTTGGTAAAAGAACGTATTGTGCAAACGATGAAAAAAGCATAAATGGAAGATTTTAAATGCAATTTTCTCTAACAATTAATGGTAAATTCTCTACAGATCAAGGAAAATATGCATGCTAACTGATAATTTAAAGTTCTTGGGGCCAGTTGTTTTCTTCTTTTCTTACGTCGCCCCAATGGCCGCGAATACACTTGTGATAACGCCTATCGATGCATGTGAAGGTGGTACAAGACATTGATTGCATTTTATTCTACAAATGCTTCAAAAGGAAAAGACAAACCTGAAGTTTCTGTTGCTGATTGCACTTCTCTGTGAATTTCAAGAATTTTAGATTAAGTATTCATTAGAAGTTTTATTTAAGCTTGATGTTGTTTCTTATCCTAGCTGGTCCTAGCATCAGCCCATGATGTGTAAAACTTGTTTCTATGTACCCATTATACAAACCACATGGTTTGATATTTGCAGATTGAGGTGCACAGCCTCAATGCAAGCATTTGCATTTTGCAACAAGCATTTACCTATATAATGGAACCATTTCTGGACTTCCTAGGTTGGAAGTGAATTGGGCAAATACTCCAAAGTCATCATTTTGATTTTACAAATATTAAATCTTTGTGGTCTATATCAAAGCACCCATCTTGCTGACACTATCAGGTGAGGACAGAGATCAGTCTAAATATGTGCATGCATCTCAATGATTTAAAACAATCCAAATCTTCATTGGTGCTTATATCAATGCAAATCTGCTATTTTCATTGGCATATTCCCATGCCTTAGATTTCTGCATGGCAGAGGAAGCATTTATTCAAAGGTAATTATAGCTTTAAAATAGTAGGGATATGCGAGATGACGTTTTCATTATCAATGCATGACTTCATTCCAGTAGCCAAATCAGTCCCTTGCAGTTCTGCATTTCTCGACCTGCCAACGGTGGCCATGGCGGCTGGTAAGGCCCCGGTCCGGCAGTTGGCAGTAGCGCCACCTACACTGAAGGTCGGCGGATCCCGAGGCCACGGGCTGGGCTGGCCCTGCCGTGGCGGACGGGCCGGGGAGCGGGCGGCAGGGGGTGGGGAGGGGTATCCGGGGACGACGGGCAGCATTGCACTTTATAAACAAGGTTGGTATAAATAATTTGCCTGGAGTATCCGCGAGTCATTTTAAGGCAGGCGCGACGTTACCCAAATATGACTTGCTTTTAATTGGAGAGTTGGTAGGCAAATTAAGGCATTTGCGTGTTGCTCATTAACTAGCCCTCTGTTTGGAATAACACCCGGTAATGATGCCCACAAGTGCAGTGCTAGCCTGCTTTTTTGTCTGTTTTAGGTATACATAGAAATGATTGAACGCCCTGCTAACCTAAATTTGTTCGTAGGTAATTCTTACGATTTGCTTTAAGTGCCGACCTCCGAAGGGATAGTCCTTTCGAAAGCTGATAATTGCGTCCGGCTTTTATTTTAGGAAAATAACACCCATTGTATTCATAAGCATTGCTGATTTAACAGCAAAGTAAGTTGAAAATTTCAATTACCTTGCCTTTGTGTAGATGAAGGAGAGCAGCCACTAGCACACACGTCTAGCCGATCCCCTCACAGCCTCCACACTGCTGCCCATTGCGCCCAAGGACCGACCGTAACATCTGTGTGCCATAAAATGGTACAACGGCGTCTTTTATCAGGCGGACCCCAATGCGAACGCCACGCGGACCGTCCGTAATCGAACGGTTGGTCCAGGACGACTGACGCAGGGCTTAGCTGATTTTGTCTGGTCTGACACAAGCTCTATAAGCATTGGTAAACCATCAGTTCAATCGTTTTGAGTTGACCTCGCGATTAAAGCATAAAGGCTAGCCATTAGTCTATCCCAGAAACAAATACACCCTTCGCATTTGTTCGCGGCATTCGTGGTAACTGCGGTTCAAAAGCATGGGAACACAGTATAAACACAACCAATATTCCAATGGGTATTGTTGGGTCCAGATGGCAGAAAGATGGCAGAAAGTTTTTGAAGGTATAAAAGGAACACTCCCCCAAAAGCAACTCCAAAATCCAAAATATTCTGTTTCCACTTTTTGAACCTTTTTCAGCTCTTGAAAATACTTCACCTTTTATCTAACAGAACTTGATTGAGTGTCTTTCAAAGCCAGAAAATTGTAAAAGTTGTATAAATAAGGGCTTCGTGTGCTGCTCAGCCAAAAAAGTTTACAATTTGCGTGGAGACAGAGCCAGTATGCCAGCTTATACAGTTGGAGACAGCGTAGACATTTTTTTCACCTCTGCCGTTTTCTCCTGCCAGTTTTTCTGTAGGGAGGTTGGTCGCAAATCGGAAAGGGTCGCTAATTAGGCACCTTACCCTATACCTATCGATAGAATGTCTATTATCTAAACGGAAAGTCCTGTCCCGTCTCCCAAAACTCGATCCTAAATTTCCCGACATGAGAACACCATAATGAAGCAAGTACATGTTTATAATCACATGGCAATGACCGTAACCTATAGCTCAAGGTCTATCACAAATGAGCATACCTGTCAGTCGGCAAACGAACGGTCTTCGAAGCAGCGCTTTTCGGGACCTCTTCCATTCGCCGCCGCTGGTCAACTACCACTGAGCAGGACCGGTAAGCGCGTATTATCCACAGTGTAACAAGCTCCCCCTCCCCCTGTGCATTCCTTTGTTGACCCCACCTTACGGGAGCCGATAGGGGGCTTCTAAGGCACGCAGTCGTTTGTTTCGACCCAGTAGACAACGGCATGCTCATATCGGGGGCAAATTAGTGGACGGTTCAACCAACCGCAATAAGCTTTTGACATGCTATGGCCGCAGCTGCATTTTCATACTAATGACTTGCGTGTGGAGGTTCAGTTCCGTCACATTACCGCAGCGAATGGTGGAACTTAGGGAAACTACATTCTGATAACGATAATGAAAAGCAGGTTGATCGGCATAAGTGAGCAGTCAACATGTTTACTTGTACCGGAACTTCTTGGAAGAGCTCGAAAGCAATTAAACGCGATGGTCTTTGGACATCAGACCCTAGCCCTGCACGCACCATCTTGGCACATACAAAGGTCAGGACAGGCTGTATTCCAATGACTGTGTCAATATAGGCCTTTCGTAGTGTCAACGTGCATGAGGCGCAATGTGATCCAGCCCGCACAGCGGCAGGTCGAGCGGGCATAATGGCAGACTGCACAGAATCACACAAAGCCGACCTGTGCTCTAAATCGGATCCAGTCTGTATAAACGTAAAAGCACGAGATACGATTCGCCCTTGCACCGCTCTTTTCTTCAGGTCAGTACTCAGTACCTCTAGTAACCGATACTAATGCGATATCACAAAAAAAATAATTTATAAGAACGTTTATTTCCTCACAAAACGCAGCAGTCGCTAAAGCCGCTACAGATAGCCAACAAAGCATATGGAGCGGGCGCACCAATCCCGTCCCAACATCTGGGAACGGAGCCGGGCCTCTCGACATCAAGCCTGCACCTTAGCATTCCCGAAAACGTCCAAGGCCGAAATAACTACGGGGGTAACAGGATTACAAGTCGGCAGATAATATCGCATAAATCTAAATAAATTCAAGCTCGCGTGCGCGCCACACTACACTGCAAGACGCCTAACTATGGGGGCAGTCTCGCGTAAAGACGCTTACACAAATACACTGGTGATAGCTTTAGCGAACCTCCCGAAACGGTCCAGCAACCGACACCATCCCCACTTTAAAGAACACCTAGAGCGTAGCCTGACGTTACAATTTCCTAGCCCCAAGAAGATGATCGTGCGACGATCGCCCTTCGCCAAAGGTAGGTAAGCTGCGAGAGAGCCATGGTCAAGGTCATCCCGGGGGTAATTTTTGAGCCCAGGCCGAGGAATGCACCCGCAAATACCTTTCAACGGGCAAGCTAAGATCACACAACACACATAGAATCGCCGCGGGGCCCGCAAGCAGGGCCAATTACGTACTAGACCTCAGTTTCATTTGTACACTGCGCCTCTTTGTATGCGTTTGAGGCCGTCCACCACCCAAGGGCACGCGCCACGCACTCCTTTCCGCACTGCTCCGTGCGTACTCGTTCAGGCGCTCAGCTCACGCGTTCTGGCGTTAACGGTATTTACAGTCCACCGGCCTGGCAGCCGGGGACGAGGGCCGCGGAGATCCACCATTAGATGGCGACGCGGACTCATCTTACACCAAGGGGAAAACTCGTTCAAAACACAACGGTCGTTGTGTAGTGCATAGTATGATGTTAAAAGCCAATGATTCCAAAATTTTGCCAAATTGATTCACATTTTAATGCAAGTTTTAAATGGATAAAATCGAAATGAGATCGATCAAAGCTTTAGCTTGAATTATTACTGAAAGCAATCCTACACTATGACTTACTCATTACCAAATGAAGAAGCAATATTTAAGCCGAAATGATGTTCTGAGGCTCATTTCACCTACTCATTACGAACCTCCTGCTCCAGCCACATAGCTCTTCTGGACCACTCCCAGCAATTCAGACTGCCAGCCTTCGGGAGCGTCAGTCCTCGTCATACGTTGTACATGTCAAGGACCGTGTGTTTGTCCCACTTCTTCCACAGGTTTTCGAGTGGCTCTTCTGCCAGTGGTTGCACTGGCTGGAGGGTTTACCAGCGTCCTCCGGAGCGGCGTCCACCACCACCACCGTACCCGCGGCCACCGCCGTACCGGCCTGGAGCACACACAGCTGGGTTAGTCAGGTAGCCAACAGACAACAGGTCGCAACTCTTTCAAACGACAAAACCGAATATGTGGCAAAAAGTCATGAGAAGTTCCAGGCTCCCCGATAAGCGTGCCTCATTAAGTGTAATCCTACAAAGACCAAAATCTATCAACAGATAATGAACGGCCAACACAAGTACAGTTAGTTAGGTCCGCTTCAATATCCCACGCTACAATCGAACCTCGACACAGCTAGCCATCCATAATGTCACCATCGTCCCTTTCACCATCCCATTTCATCCCCACCACCACTCCAGATCCCTCGATCACTCACTGCGTCCTCCGTATCCACGGCTCGAGTTCTGCAGCTCGATCAGTTTCGGGTTGACCACCTGATTGGCCTCACGCAGCACCGAGATCAGATCGCGTGCCTTGGCCGCGTTCTCAGCCGTAAAGAACGTGTAGGCGGTGCCCGTGTTGTGGCTGCGAGCCGTGCGCCCGATCCGGTGGATGTAGTCCTCAGAGTTGTTGGGGTAGTCGAAGTTGATGACGAACTTGACGTCCGTGACGTCTGAACACGCCCGAGGTTTGTTAGAACGTGTCGACAATAGTTGGGGGATGGGGGAGGAAGAGTGTGTGGGGTGCGGGGAAGTTTCAACAACAACAAATTACACAGACACATACGCACAGACATGAGACACAGTACACTACATAGGTACGATACTTTCAAAATTTACCACCACCACCCGCCGCAGCGGTAGATTCAGGCGGCCGGCGGCTGGCGTTCAGTGCCACGCCGCCGGACGCACTTACCACTGAAGCGGGCGCCTACGGTGGCGACTCAGGCGGCGGCAGACTGCGAGCGACCGATTCCTCCCTGCCACCCCCACCTGCAACACAAACCGGCCGGCCGGCGGGCGGCGGCACGTCACTGACGGCCGACTAGCGCTCGCCCGCAGGCGCCGCTCCCGCTCTGGCGCACACCGGTCCCGCCGCGGCCGGCCGGGCGCGGAGAGCGCCGGCCGCCGCCTCTGGCTGCGCGGACGGTCAACGGGGCGGTGTGTGAGTGCGCAGAGCGGAGCGTAGTGCGCCTCCCCGGCCGGGCCGGCGCGCAGGCTCCCTCCCCGGACCGGCGCGGCGCCGCCTCGCTCCCGACAGTGTGACCAAACGGTGCCGTTTGTGTCCGACCTGCCCCGGCGGCCAGCAAACATTCATCGCCTGAAATACTGCTCAGGGGAAAAGGAAAGGTCTAGGAATATATCCACGGAATTCTCTTACATTCCAGTGGCTCAATCGCAAAGAGCCAAAGAGATATTTGCATAAAAATACAGAACGTCAGCCTTCCGTTGCCAATTTCCTTACTGAAGTACCCGTTCACAAGGATTCATGGGCGAAATTTGAAGTCAACTGCCCACTTTTTGAGCATGGAGGCTCTTTAAAAGCGAAAAATGTACATCCAACATTGGAGAAACTCCGGAGAGATTAATATTCTAGAAGAATAAGCATTCAACGCAAATGACAACTCATTATCAGATCTAGACAAATAATTCAATTTCAGCAACTATCAAACAAATTATCTTACCCTTCCGGCAGTGAAAAAATCGTCTGAGTCGGCGCATTCGGCATTGAACACTGTTTTCGAGGTTAAAACCTATGACCATCGCTCTTGTACGACTTGTGCGCGAACAGTGCAACGGTTATCGTATCAGAGATGCATAAAACCAATGAAATACATCCCAGGCTGATAGCTTATGGTGTTACGCAAGGAAGCGCTGTGTCTCCCTTCCTTTTCCAAAAAAACTTCTCTCCAATAAAGGTAAATGGTGGGCAAAACTGCCGTACCAGAGCAACAACCTAGCAGAGCTGATTGTGGCTGACGGGGTAAAAAGTGCGTCGGTTGCAGCTTAGTGCATAAGGATGGGGAGGAAAATGAATATTAGGCAGAAAGACACAGTCAAACACCATTCAATTACGCACAAGTCGCAAAATTTACGGCATCATTATAAGTATAAGTAAAGATACTACGTTACATAAGAAATTATAGATACGATCAGGCAAAAACTGAATGTTGCTGGTCCCAACACAAAACAGACACTTGGCCACACTTATCGGGACATTGTATCCGGCACATCTTATGGCCGGACATTTGGCGCCGGCCACATCTAACGGCTGGGCAGTGTTCCGGCCACATCTCAAGGCTGGGCAGTCATCCCGGCCGCAACACCGAACAGTTGCCCGGCACACCTGAGGGCCGGACAGTTGGTTCCGGCACAGGTCACGGCCGGGCACTTACCCGGCATATCTTAGGCCGGGTATCATTCCGGCACACCTTAGGCCGGGCAGCTGGTTCCGGCGCAGGTCACGGCCGGGCACTTACCCGGCACACTTCACGGCCGGGTATCATTCCGGCACACCTGAGGGCCGGACAGTTGGTTCCGGCACAGGCCATGGCCGGGCACTTACCCGGCATACCTTAGGCCGGATAGTTATGCCGGCCGCATTGCACAGCCGGAAAGTTGGTTCCGGCCATATCCCACGGCCGGACAGTCGTTCCGGCCAATTTCACAGCGGGACATTGACTCCGGCACATCTCATGGCCGGACACTCGTTGCCGGCACACCTTACGGCCGGGCAGTTGCTCCCCGGCACGTCTCACGGCCGGATAGTTGGTTCCGGCACACCTGACGACCGGCAGTAAGCCCAGCTCGCCTCACGGCCGGTCACCCAGTACTGGTCAGTCGTTGCCAGTACACGTCATGGCTGGGCAGTTGGTGGCTGGTGCCGGCCAATGTCACGGCCGAATACTTACCCGGCACGCCTCACGGCCGGGCAGCACCCCGGCACACCTGAAGGCCGGACAGTTGGTCCCCGGCACCCGTTATGCCGGGACTTTGTTTGCTACGCCGGGACTATGCCTGCTATGCCGGGCAGTCCCGGCAACTGCTGTCATGTTCCCTGTTGCCGGCAACACGCTGCGATGCCGGTTCGGTTGGACCACCGGCCCTTATACTACCGACAATCCCTGCTGCGTTACCTGCTGTCGCCCTCCCATGCCGGCAAAGTTTAAAACCCAGGATGCCGGCTAGGGGCGTCATCTTGGTGCGCCCACACGGCGCACACCCAGATGGGCAGGGCAGGCACGCAGGTAGTCTCCCTTTACCACCAGGACCCGAGGACACCCCTCCAACCGGGACCGGGAACGACGGTCCCCCGGCCCTCCCGGGGACACCGGTGCCGAGCGGGGCGCGCCGGGATGGTCCCTACCCGACCACCCGCGCGCCGGCCCGGCCCTGTCCAGGGGTGTCCCTCGGCGCCCGTGGTCTAGATATCCCCAAGTCGTCTCGGAACGATCCAAGTCCGCCACCCTTGTCCGCCCTACGACCCTCTGTAGCTCTACCAACGAATCACAGCCTGGAGTCTACACACTCCTCTACTGGAGTCGTCAGTTAAGTCGCTGGCAGTCTACGGAAACCCGTGCTTCACAGGACCTCAGTAGCTTTTGGAAACCCACTGCAGACTCAGAGTGTGTAGCAAGCAGGTTAGCCAACCTCCTGCCACACCGCCGTTCGCTGATCACTTCTGAAGTCGGCAGAACCGCCTCGGCTGGCCTCCAGCTCCCTCCCGGCCCTTGCTACTCACCCAGGCCGCGCGCAGCCACATCAGTGGCGACGAGGATGGGCGAGCGGCCGCTGCGGAACTCCCGCAGCACCCAGTCGCGCTCCTGCTGTGACTTGTCGCCGTGGATACACATCCCCGGCCATCCCTCGCGGCGCATCTGGCGGGTCAGCTCGTCCGAGCCGCGCTTCGTCTCGGTGAAGATGATGGTCTTGTTCTCCTTCTCGGCCATGATTTCCTCGAGTAGGCGGAACAGTCTGGGAAAGAGAACGGCGAGAGGTTTGGTTACGCTGTCAGAAGCAGGAAGGGGGACGAAGAGACAAGATGATAGGGCATACGCAGAGTGAAGAGGCAGCTTAGTGAGATAGGTCACGGTAATAACGGGAAAAGATGGTTCGGCTTATTACAGTTTGTAACAGGATAGCCCATGATAGACCTCTGTGTACCAGTCGAGTCAATCAGTGGTCCATCGAGATAGCCGCACACGCACAAGTTATCGACACATTGAAAGCCAATCGAAGGTCACACTAGCCAGTCGCACTCACTTCTGGAACTTCTCGTGGCTCTCACAGACGTCGACGATCTGCAGGATGTTGTGGTTGGCGGCCAGGTCCAGGGAGCCCACGTTTAGCTGGGTGTAGTCGGTCAGGAACTCCTCGGCAAGACGACGCACCTGCGGAGAACGGCGGGGACGGGAGTCAGCGGGGAGGGGCATGGGGAGCTCAGCAGATGTTCCTCGTGATTGGGGGCCGATTCAATAGAAAATTAACACCAGTAAAACGCCTTTTGGGCGAAGAACGAGCGAGCGAGACAGTGAGCCCTGCAGGCTGCACGTGCGGAAGGGCGAGAGGGTACTTCCAACGGGCTTGCGCAAAGCACCCTTCTAACCGGTCGCTAGCGGTGTACCAAATTTGAACGCAATCGGCCCAGCCGTTCCTGAGATCTGGAAGCGACATTCTGCACGTGCGCACGTGCAAACGGGGTCCAAACTGAGTTTTGCACGGCACCCTACTAACTGGTCCCCAACCGTGTACCAAATTTGAGCGTAATCGGCCCAGCCGTTCTCGAGATCTGGAAGCGCCCCCTGCACGTGCGCACGTGCAGTAGCACCTTAACCGCAACACATGGGAACGCATTGCCTGGCGGGTGCCTACCTGTATGCCAAGTTTCAGCGAAATCGCCCTAGTAATTACCGAGTTATTAAAATGGGAACAAATCTGACACCTCTTATTGTTGTATTTTGCACGTGCACTGAAAGTGACCCGCATGCATCGAGAGTATCCTATTTTTGGTAGAAGGGATGTTGCTACCCTACAAAAATTACCGCAAGTCAATCGCCCGAGCGGTTGCTGAGATATGAGCCTCTCAAAATCACTACTTTTGCAAAACAGCTTGAACACCCTTGACTTTTCACGTGGCACGTGCCACGACGGTCACTGAGGTGTATCAAAAGTAGTCAATTACGGGGTAGAAGGGATGGGGCTACCCAGCAAAAAAGACCGCAGGCCAATCGGTCCAGCGGTTGCTGAGATATAAGCCTCTCAAAAGCGTTACAGGCCGGGCCGCTCATACTGAGATTTTTCCGTTATATTGAAAAGACTCACTTCGCTCGCTGCGCTCGCTCGCTCGTAATCAGTCAGTGAGGGCAAAAAGTAACCAGTAAAACGCCTTTTGGGCGAAGAACGAGCGAGCGAGATAGTGAGCCCTGCACGTGCGGAAGGGCGAGAGGGTACTTCCAACGGGCTTGTGCAAAGCACCCTTCTAACCGGCCGCTAGCGGTGTGCCAAATTTGAACGCAATCGGCCCAGCCGTTCCTGAGATCTGGAAGCGGCATTCTGCACGTGCGCACGTGCAAACGGGGTCCAAACTGACTTTTGCACGGCACCCTACTAACTGGTCCCCAACCGTGTACCAAATTTGAGCGCAATCGGCCCAGCCGTTCTCGAGATCTGGGAGCGCCCCCTGCACGTGCGCACGTGCAGTAGCACCCTAACCGCAACACATGGGAATGCATTGCCTGGTGGGTGCCTACCTGTATGCCAAGTTTCAGCGAAATCGCCCCAGTAATTACCGAGTTACTGAAATGGAAACAAATTTGGCACCTCTTCTTTTTGTATTTTGCACGTGCAGTAGGGGGCACTCACATAGATCAAGAGTATCCGACCTTTGGTAGAAGGGATGCAGCTACCCTATAAAAATTACCGCAAGACAATCGCTCAAGCCACTGCTGAGATATGGGTCTCTTAAAATCACTACTTTTGCAAAACTGCTTGAACACCCTTGACTTTTCACGTGGCACGTGCCACGACGGTCACCGAGATGTATCAAAAGTAGTCAATAACGGGGTAGAAGGGATGGGGCTACCCAGCAAAAAAAGACTGCAGGCCAATCGGTCCAGCGGTTGCTGAGATATAAGCCTCTCAAAAGCGTTACAGGCCGGGCCGGGCCGGGCCGGGCCGCTCATACCGATATTTTTCCGTTATATTGAAAAGACTTCGCTTCGCTCGCTGCGCTCGCTCGCTCGTAATAATATTTTAAGTAAAAATAAAAAAGTAAGAAATCATAAGTGCATGTTCGGTCATAAAATAAGTCAAACATAATGTATACATACAACGATTGAATAACATTTTAATCCATAAGATTTCGAATCCGTTTCATTGAATCAGTTTGAAACAGCGCTGCCCCACCCCCTGCCATCCGCTATCCCCTACAAACCTCCTTGGGCCACGTGGCGCTCCACATGAGCGTCTGCCTGTCGGGTCGGATCTGCTCCACAATCTTCCTAATCTGCGGCTCGAAACCCATGTCCAGCATCCTGTCGGCCTCGTCCAGCACCAGATAGGTGCAGCGACGCAGGTTGGTCTTGCCCATCTCCAGAAAGTCAATCAGCCGGCCCGGAGTGGCGATCACGATCTCCACGCCGCGCTCCAGGTCACGCAGCTGACGGAGGAGAGGGAAGGGCGGTCACAGAGGGAATCGTACACATGGTAGAGGCATGTAGCCCCAGGAGCAATTCACGCAGCTGATGGGGAGAAGATGATGATAATGCCACTACGAGTATGCACGGTGGATCTGAATTATGGGATCGATTAACCGATAAAATCGATCGGATACAACCCCTTAAATAGACAACTGAAACTTTAATGTCACAGTCAATCATTTCAGAACACCAAATGGCCAAAAAACAAACTAGCATTGGCCATTGCATGGGGAAAATGCCACATCACACGCTCAGCCACTCCCAGCAGATAATAATCATCCACCTTGTATTGCCTCACCTACTCTCCCAATAAACACACCCCTATCTGGGCTATCGAGCCGGAATAACTACTCTTAGCCCCACTCAGCGTCCCCAACCTTGCACCTACCTGTCCTCCCTTGGGCGCTCCGCCGTACACACAGGTGTGCCGCAGCTTGGAGGAGCGACCGAACTCGCTGGCCACCTCAGAGATCTGCTGGGCCAGCTCACGGGTGGGTGCCAGCACCAGAGCCACCGGTCCGTCGCCCGGCCGCAGGTAGTCCTGAGCGCAGCGGGAGAGACCGAGACATCAGGTGGATTCATAGAGTGAAGAGGAGAGGAGGGTTGGCGAAGGAAGGAGAAGGAAGGAAGGGTATGGGATGGGAGGGAAGGGGAGGAGAGAAAGGCATGTCGAGAGTTCCCTCTCGAAGGATGTTATCAGCCCGACCTGCCTAGTTTTCCCAACAAGCAACTGGTAGCTAGCTTGAGTCTTTACAAGTTAGGAGGTGTGTGGGCGTTCCCTAGCCTTGGCAAAGCGAGAGCAGAGCTGACTGACAGGAATTAGAAAGTAAAATCTGTCCTGTTGGGGACAGGGCAAAACATCAACGGCTAACGAATAACCATTAACCATCCTGTCCTGGGGTATCAGTGTGGGCGGAGTTCACGAGCTTGCTCATGAAACAAAAAGATGCACATTCTACCATGGGAACATCCAATCCTGTAAAATATCCAAAGAAATAAACCCCTCAATAAATCAGAGCCCACCAACCACTCACCTGATGGTTGATGTGGATGATGGCCGGCAACATGTAGGCCAGCGTTTTGCCGGAGCCGGTCTGGGCGATACCGACCATGTCGCGGCCGGAGAGGGCGATCGGCCAGCCCTGAGCCTGAATCGGGGTCGGGTGCTGGAAACCGTTCGCCCTGCCCAACAGAGCAAGGTGACAACGCTGTCAGATCATTTCTTTTTCAGTTTTCACCTTGACTGGCTGATAGCTACCTACTTATGATTCATGTCATGCTAGTGTTTAAATTACCGATGAGTCAAATGGGCAGCGATATATCCTCTCAAAAGGAATAAAACCAATGATGCTAAGAAAGACCTTGAAATAGTACCTTGTAGGCAAAGGACAGCATCTGGTAATCCCCAGACACTGCGACAAAATCGTGGCACCCAGTCATACGAGACGCACGAGACCGACAGATACCACCAAACGCTACACCACAGCCCCCTCACCGGATGGTGTTCATGATGTAGTCTGGCATGGCGCAGTCCTGGAACTCCATCAGCGGCTGCGGCACCACCGTGCCGCGCACCGTGATCTCACTGCGCTGACGGAACGCGTCCACCTCCGACTGACTGCGCGCCAGCACGTGCGGCAGCGGCTGGTAAAAGTCCTTCTGGAACGGGGTCAGTTTGATGGAGGACCAGTCGGGCCGGCGCAGGTTGCCGCCCGGCTGGCTGCTCTTCATCCCCATTCGGCCGCCGCCGAACCCACCGCCGAAACCGCCATAGCTGCTGCCGTACCTGGGAGCGAAGGGAGGTATAACGTCGCTACTCGCTGATGACGCTGATGACGATTGATGATGCTTAATGACAGGACGAAGGTAAAAATCACCATCTACTGGCTACACACACATTAATCCGCTGAATTCAACATGGGAGCCAATCCGCTGGCTGACTGCGAGTTTAGCGATGAATACATATTGCATGACGAAGTGTTACCTATGTTCTGCCTTTTATCATTTATGACCAAAAAAGCTTTGCAGGAAGAGTTGTTATGCCTACAGTTTTGAAGATGATAAAAATGTTAGAGCCAAAAAATGAAGAAATAACAGGGTCACAACACTGATATAATATTTTTGCAATTTTCGGAATTTCGTCCCCGATCAAAATTCAAAAATATCATTTTTGGACAGAAATATCATGAAAAGAAAAGAAAGAAAAATGAAAAGGAATATTACTTACAGCACTCAAAGTATTCTATGAAATTACCAAATTTTGGATTGTTAGCTCTATTTTGGGTAAATTTATGGTGAAAAACTACTTAAAGGCATGACATCAAATTTAATAGGTAAGTACTCCATTTTTAGCCATTCTTAACCAAGAAGATGGGCACCATATAGCCTCGCTGCTGGCGCACCGTAAAACACCAATGACCAAATCATCATCATCATCATAAACCAAGAAGGTCAAAACCAAGACCACCATAAATTAGATTCCCCAAACGAGCTATATGGAATCTATAGGTACTGTTTTTTCATAGGTACATAAACATAATTTTTTAGATTTGACCTTTTCGACCTGGGCGGTGTTTCACGGGACGCTGCTACCACGCTGCTATCAAATTGCGCGAGCTGACGTCACACTTGTGGTAGTGTTGGAGCAATGGGCCTGTTGATGTTTCCATGGAAACCCAATTTGACACGTGTAAAAGCAGCGTGCTGCTATCACGGGTGAAACAGGGCCCCGACCTTCACCTTAGGTAGGTAACCTAAACTGGTCCCAATGGGCCACCAGACCCACAGCATTGAATTTGAAATGCAAAACTGACCATACAACATGCATCCATCACATGACCAGGTCCTATAGTAAGAGCTAGGTTCATACTGTTTGTGACCTAAGTGACCTGGCCTCTGTGACCTGACCTGATATTTGTGAGATTTAAGCAAAGTACCTATGAGTAAGACAAACATTGCTTGTTGATGATTTTTGATTTCATGCCTTTTACTCAATCTCATAAATTATAACACATTTCTGGGGTCTGTTAATGGTCAGAAAGGCAACCAGTCCATTGGGCTTTGACCTAACCTGTAACATCACCAGGCAGTGTCCCAAAATTGAGTTTTGTCATGGGTGTCAGAGGGGAAAAATACCCACCAAAATGGGGGGGGGGAGGTAGAAAACTGCTGATTCGATTAGATCTAAAAGGAGTGCAGAGAAACAACAAAAACATGTATTTTATTCTAGGGTGTAGAATGTTTGATGCTAAACCTGGCATCCACGCAACTGCTCCTGGTAAAAATCCTAAGTTTTCTTGGTTGGGAGTGGACAATTATTCTTAAATATTGGTGGCAAGAGTGAAAAATGAATTTAATTTGGATGTCGTTTCCCACCCAAATCGACAAATTTTGGGACATTGTCACCAGGTGCACCTAGATAAATGAAATTGGGCCACAAGCTAGTTTCGAGGCGGGGCTATCAAACACGGTTTGAATTTTAAAAATCAGTCAGTAATTTTTCCTGTGGGGGCGGGGCATTTTAGCCCCTACTGGTGGATAGCACTGGCAATGCTGCAATAGCCCTACATTGCTCGGGTTAAGCTGATTAATCTGTCTATGCAGCCGGTGGATAGCAGGGTCTGGCGATGCCGCAATAGCCCTACGTTACACGGGTTAAAGGGACAGTCCCACCTTAACATTAGTTTTGAGTTGAGATAGCCAAGTTTGCGGCCAGGCTCAGAAACCACCATTTATCCTGGTCGCAACCCCCGCAGCTTTATAGTGTTCAAGAAATTTCTTCCCTTTACTTGCAGGGTGGGACCAGCGTAGTCCCTATCTCTTAACACTAACAGACTCTGATGACGTCATCAAGCCCATTGACCTCGCGTTATAAAATAAAAGTCCTATATTTCAAAAACGGGTGAATATTTTTCGGTGAAATTTGGTAGATGTTCATTTTCGCTCTTTCTGATTCAAGGCACCACTTTTATGCCAATTCATTAACTTTTTTAAGGTGGGAGGGTCCCTTTAAGCTGATTATTCTGTCTACTTAGCCTGTCAGGTGTTATAACCTAAATAGCTATATCAGTTGGGGAAACTACGAGGCAAATGTCAAAAAATGGATTGGTCAATAAATGGACTTTTGATGACCATATATGGGCATAAATGCAGCCCCCGCTACTAAGGGTGAAAAACGGTATAACAAGCCGGTACCTACTTGTGGTATCGCGTCCACTTATTGGAGAGAAAAGGCTTCCATTTTTCACTAGGGATTGGTGTGATTTGATTAAATTCGGCGAATTGACTCGAAAATGGCGATAGGAAAATGGCTTTTCTGCAGGTTCTGGGCGTCGCAATCAGCTGGCCATTCAATAAATGGATTGGTTTTATGAAAGAAAATTGTTAAAAGATTTAATTTAATTACAATTAACAAAAATATTTAATTCCAAAATAATAACTTACCTAACTACAATTAGAAAAACCATAAGCAAAATAATAAAAATGATGACATTTTTAAACCACGGTACTGCTTACATTTTATGGCACGTCTGTTTCAATCCGCCATATTTGCCAATCACGGTTTGACCTTGCGTTGTAACTCTGCGATTTAGAGCTGCCAGTTAATTATGCACCGAGTGAGTGTAGGCCTTGTGTGGTTAAAAAACATTCTTATGCCTTATTTTTCATTTGAGTGCTAAAATTCATTGAAAAGATGAAGTTGTCTGATTTTATGACCATATATGGTCATCGCCCCGCCCACTCCAGCCGCTGATTGGCTAATCCAATTTTTGTTTGGCTCCTCGTAGTTTCCCCAACTGATATCGGTCGGAGAGGCCATCATAACCAAGCGTTTTCATTGTAGTTAATTCATATATCCCAGTCAAGTATTCAGTTAGGTCAGTTGCCACTATAAAGAAGCCTTTTAGCAAAACAAAATATCCAAATCAGAAAGTGATAAATGGATGCACAGCCACAACTTGACAACATCACAACCATTCAGCACCCAGCTGTATTACCCACACAGACAAAATATGATATTTCCATAATGATACTTTGCAGCGAAAGCTCAGAAAGCAAAAAGGACTTACATGACCACTGCCAATAACAGTGAAAATCGACACAATTTCTCTGAAACGAAAACCAAAACACCAAGATGGCCGTCGGGGAGTCACCGAGTCAACGTCCTCACTTTGAATCTAGTCAAATCCGTTTAAAATGCAGCGTTAAATGACGTCATAAGAAAATCGTTTTAAGTAAAGCAAACGATCGTAGCTAGCAGATAAACTTCACAATCTGCTACCTGATTCGTTTAAACAAAATGATATCATAAAACATTTTAGACAAGTGTAGGACAGATTAGAAACTATTTTCTGTGACTTGAGGGTAAACAAAACAAATACGCGGATGAACACACATTTTCTTATTTGATAAAAAGCATACGATCTATTCACTTTTCCTTCTCAAAATGAATAAGATAATATTCAAAATTTGCTTCTTTTGATACATGCCAGTCATTTTTGGATGAAAAGCAGCGTTTTACACACAACAACTTCTATTCCACAATGTATCAGAAAATATAGTTAAATAGAGCCACAAGTTTTTGAACAGCGAGCCCGGCATTCTTTTGTTGTTTCATTTCATGTATCCATTTGATTCAAATTTCATTCCTCGACCATAAACGTAGCAAATGAAATAAAGAAGCAGGCTCAAGTGATTGGTGCACGCACATGGGCACAGGTTCATAACGTAGGCAGAAACGTTTTATGCAACGTTTCTCGACTTGCCAATTAGTCCTTTGAACTAAGGGAACGACCACCGACCGATTAAAATATCAGATATTTATGTTTATATACACTGTGATATTTACGACATTAGAAGTCACTGAAGTCATTGGAGTTCCGAACATGCCAAATTTGCAATGAAATTGCATACTTCAACTCTATTGGCTTTAGTTGCCGACGGTTTATGTTCGGTAGCTGGCTGCGATTGGTTGATGTTAAGGATTCAAATTATTGCAGATCATCGTGCCTGGAAAAAGGTTATACGATTCGTATTCAAATGTAAAAAAAAAAATTTTCAATTTCAATCAATTTCGCAGCTGCTAGGAAAAAGGATGGCTGCAAAGTTAGCAGTGGAATAGGGTTGTCTGCCACAGTCAGCTGTTTCGTTCATGACGCATTTCTCACATTTACGGCGCGGCAAGCTACACACGCAAGCATATTTACGTCTGGACAACGAGTTGCGTTGGAGAGGCCGGAAATAGTGGCGATTTCAGGACCGCAAGAATGGACCGCCATTGGAATGATTCTTTTTGAAACCGTGCACTGTTTTCGGCCGGAATTTAATAGTTACTACAAAATATTTTGTAATTACGTTTCCACCGAGAATGAATGCTATCAGGGCTAAATTTTTACTACTTTTGCATTTTGTCAAGAAGCATATAGTGCTGTTATATTGCAGTTTTTGCGCGTTTGTTACAAAATATGAAGCGAATAAGCGTCAGTGTTATTCATCAGTGCCAAAAGTTAAAGGGACCCTCCCACCTTCAAAAAAGTTAATGAATTGGCATGAAAGTGATGTCGCTCGGTTCAGAAAGAGCAAAAACGAATATCTACCAAATTTCATCGAAAAATATTCACCGGTTTTCAAGGTATTAGACTTTTACTTTTGTTTACTTTTTGGGATCTCCGCTGTTCCTAGCGACTTTATTTGAAAGTGCGGCATTTGTTGCGCGCAAAGCAGCATATACCACCGCGTGCTACAAAACGTTTTAGTCAAACATTTAAAACTCGTTAGATATCTGCGATGACGTCACACATTCAGAGGGGTATTCCTAAGCATTAGCCCCTCTGAATCAAGATGCTGCAATTTTGAAATTCAATATTTCCGATTTAAGGCATTTCTCGATGTTGTGAGTGCCGAAACCGGTAATTGTGAGCCAGGGACCCCATTTTGGCTATCTCAACTCAAATCTAATGTTAAGGTGGGAGGGTCCCTTTAACTTGATGGGAAGCTATGCTAATTGCTCTTGTCCATCCACTAGAAGTTATTAAATATTTTGCTTTGTGTATTCCAAAAGGAGTGGGAACTATTTTATTTGTGCCTTCATGTCAGAATTGAAGGTGGATCATTAAATTTTGATTTTCAAGGCAGTTTACAAACAAGCATTTGGTCTTTCTCGGATATACCTAAGCAGTGGCTAAGAAGAAAAGGTTGATCAATCCTGAAGTTCAGTCATCGTACCTCAACTTGGCAGCAAGATCCCCAAGGACAGAGGTTATATTGTATACCTGTCCTGTAAATCAAAGCATTTTTGTGCCTGCAAAGGCTTAAGCTATTTGTGGTGTGTTCGGAGCGAGGCCATATGGCCGTTTTTGTTGTATGTTTATGTGGAGATTGAATATAACTGTGACCCTTTGCTTGTTTGTATACTTACTATGGTCAAATAGGGAACAGCACATTCACATAACATACTCACCTAGCACCTAACTCATAGCTGTACCCTGCAGGATCTGTACTTGTTCATGTCTCGAGCAAAGCACTAAAGTAGCTTTGTAATCATTTCCCACATTTTCTGAGCATCTAACATGACATACAGCAGTGCAGAGCAGCTTCAGAGAAGAAACACTTTAAATGCACAGACTCACACCAGCCACCCAATGAGCCAGTTCCTCAGTTGACTGTTTCCCTGGATGCAGCTTGGCAAGGTGAGCTAACTATAGGCAACTTGAAGGTTAGCAGGTAAGACTGAGTTAGGGTGAGTACCTACCTATAATAACTGGGTGCTTCTGCTATGCAGGTCTTGGGTAAGGCTGCAAATATGTGTGATGATTGAGGTTAGGTCAGCTGTCAGGTTATTCAGGTATGCTCATTGCTCAGGTCACATTTTTATGGACACTTGGCAAATTAAAAAACTAGCATAACCTAATCTAAGCTAACCCGACTAAACCTACACAACTGCTGACTATAGGAACTAAGCACCTACCTACTTGTGCCTATATCTCATACCATGTCAAAACTCAAAGTAGAGTTCCTTGGTGGAACATTACCCTCAGTACTTTTTATCCCAGCCCTGTGAAGAAAACTAATACTTCTAAGCTCTGAGTCACTGCTGGCCATCCACAGGAAGAAACGCTGAGACTGAGAGCTTTGCCATTGTATATTGGACCAACAATCATGAATCACTATCATGAATGACTATGAACACATCATATGATCACATCGCTGCATGGATTGTCACATTGACAATTTTATAACAATCCTTTTTTCAAGAAATACAGTAATGATTAACATCAAAATCAACATTAAGTGGATTTGGTGATCCAAGCTTTCTCCTCCAGTTGCAGTAGCAATGGAATGATCGCATGTTTCATTTGCCAGACACTGAGTACCTGATGCACATTACAATCTGCACAGCATCTAAGCATAGTACAGCTGCCAAAGTCCATTCATTCTAGATTTTTAACTTGATAGTTAGCACTAATTTATCTTGCTGTTGTAAGTTATCATTCAATATTCATACCAATACATCAATATGCACTCATCAGTCAACATTTTCTGGCATGATCCTGCTCAGCGTGCTCTTCAGTATTGCTCCAGGATCTGCAATATTATAGCTTGTTTTCGGCCAATAAGCTCTTTTAATTTTACTTTTTTTGCTGATATATGAGCCCGATCAACTAGTTGCGTTTATCAACCAAAATTTAATAACTTCAAGTTCAACTTGATATTGATATTGCTCAGGAGTCAGGACCTCTATCAGCCTCCTGGATACTTCGGATTGTTTTCAGTCACATGCTTCTTAAATATGATATAAGTCAATCTTAATGGATCCAAAACATCCAACAAAACGACGTAGGTACAAGAGTACGGAAACCACCAGATAAACTTAAAAAGCGCCTTGGAACAGAGCCAAGTGGTCCTCCATTTGCTTGTTTACAATGATTGTAGTGCTGATGTATTTTTAGGACTCTGAAGGTCGGCTTATAAAAAATGAAACGTTTTTACAAAAGTTGTAAGGCAAGTAATATTTATCGAAAAGAACTAAAATATTCAAAAGCCAAACACTATGAAATACATGAATCGGAACGAAAAAGTAACCCGAAAATCCAGCCTAATCACCGGCTCCTAAAACTGCAACAAAACCAGCACTTTTCCCCGCAACTCGTTGTCCAGACGTAAATATGCCACACGCAAGTTGAAAGTTCCCAAAATTGAAAATTCCACAGAAAATTCCAAGGTGAAGGGGGGTTGCAATGTAAAAGGTTATATTATATTCTGGATTATATTGATTAGGTATATTATATTATAAGATATTGTGGTCAGAGAAGAGCAAAAAGGAAAGAACAAACCAGCACCCAGTACATTTTATAGGTACAGGCTGAAAAGGTGAGACAACATAAAACAAAAAAACTTATTACTGAAAACTCTTATTACATTTCAATTTGTGGTTGAAGGTTGGAGGGGCTTGGTCCTGTCACTAGTCTTTCACTTTACGACTACCATCTATAGGGCTGTCGTTATCTCCCCATTTATCAGCTACTTTACTTGACTTGTGGTAGGCTGGGAAGTGGGACGTCTCCCTTTTGTGCTGCTAATTGTATACCGACTGCCATGCCACCCGGGGCCGGGCCAGTGTCATTCTAAGTGTGCAGCTTGAACTGCAGTGTTTGTCACTGTGAATATTATAGTTAAGTGTTCATTTCTGTCAGTGCTCTTCTGCCAGCATGTGACAGTGCTTGTCTCTGCCAGCATCACATCACCATGTGGCCAGTGTGGTGGTTGGTTCCTGTGCTGCTGGCTGCCTTCTGCGCGGCTGACACCGACCCGCAGGCACCTGGCCTGTACCAAATTGAAGGTCGTCTGATGAAGATGGAGCGTGATCCGGACCCTGAGTGGTTCCGCGTGGCATTTATAACGGTCACTGGTGGAGCAGAAACTCACTACGGCTTTCCGACGTGAGTTTAGGGTCAGCTGATACCAGGGGATAAGTTACACTCTGGTGTGAGCTGTAAACTGAAAGGAAGATAATAATATAAGGGTTGCTTGCATTCATCATACATTCAAGTCATCATGCATCATATTTTCTTGTTTCAAAGCTTCTGACCTTCATGTTTATGTGTTACTCCAGGCACCTTGATTCTTCAGTATTCTTATGATGCTGCTTAACTCGCTATGTGTATATGACACCCCTGGCTGGCCCTCAGTCTGTGTATGCTTCCCCCCTTTGGACCCTCTGTGTACCTGTTACTCTCTGTCCCTCTATGTTACGACCCCTGACTGGCCCCGGCAGCGCGGACGGCTCGTTCGTCGTCTCGAACCTGGCGCCCGGCTCGTATGTGGTCGATGTGACCAACCCCCGCTACCAGTTTGAACCGGTTCGGGTCGACATCAACTCCAAGGGCAAGCTGCGCGCCAGGCGGGTCAACCACATCGTGCCATCGGAGGTGAGCTGGCGCAGGAACGACGTGATGTTTACCAATATGTTACCAGTGATGTTCCCGAATGTTGTTGGCTTTTGCCCGACGTATAGCTAACCGTGCGTGTAATCGAATGTAAATTGCGATCACAAGTACGTGAAGAATCAATGACAATAATTCGTTGACAGGAAGAAAATTGACAAAGAAGTATTCGTCATTCGAGAAGGTCAATAATTTTCACGTATTTATACTCGCCGTGCTCCTCGCAAAAGCACTTAGCACCATTAGTACGTAAATAGCGATTGGTTAAGTGTGACCACAACGTGCGTAAGATACGTCCGAAGCACATATTTCTCGCTGATCACTGGTGTTCTGACTTCTGACCGCTCTCGCCAGGTGACCCAGCTGCCATACCCTCTGAAGCTGCGTCCGCTAGGTCCGTACCAGTTCTTCCTGAAGCGTGAACAGTGGCGCATCACGGACATCCTGTTCAGTCCGATGGTGATGATGATGATCCTGCCCGTGGTGCTCATCCTGGTGCTGCCCAAGATGATGAACGACCCAGAGACACGGTGAGGGGATGGGGGCGGGCGGGGTTGGTATCGACATGGGTTTTTTACTGGTTGAGGGAGCTAGAGGAGAGACGTTAGATGGAGAGCAGGCCCAGGAAATGGGCATGTCATGTTCTAACCTTGATAACATTGCCGGTAAGTTCAGAGACTTTGGAGACTTCCATACTTCTTTGCATCAGAGACTTTGAGGGTAATCGATGCCTTATAGGCACATTGACCGATCAATATGGCAAATGCCAACCATTATCCAACACCCGTGTCAAAGAGTATCTTTCTATAACGATTCAACTTGCGTCAACAATCCTTGCGTCTAACGCGCATTTCTCAAAACACCGGGACAAAACACCGTCATATCCCACTCATGTCTGACACCGCCTCCCTGTGCCGTTTCACAGCAAGGAGATGGAGCAGATCAGTATGCCCAAGTACGATATGCCCGAGCTCTCTGAGATGATGACGTCATTCTTCGGCAGCGGCGACAAAAAGAAAGGCGCCAAACCGAAGAAGAAACAAACGTAGCGACGCAAAACAGTGATCGGGGTATCAGGGAGGCGGGGTGTGGACGATATATTCGGCAAATGTGTCTGTCGACGATATGTACTGGAGAGGGCGTCTATACAGAGATAGCCGTTGTGATTCCTCTCATACGAACAAGTTGCAGCACGGTTTAGGATGGTCAATGGCCACTCGTGCAACATGCTACAGACCCTGACGTGTGGAAGACTGCCCCACCCGGCCCGACCCGACCATAAATTGAGAGGCTAGAGCCGCATTCCACGCCGTCCGTTCCGCACGGAGCCTGGATATATCTAGTCGGCGTTTTTGGGAGTGCGGTGGTCGTAACCGTGCGTGTGATGGCTATAGAGGCAGCCTGATCTTGCCCGTACGTCAATCGGGTGGTTAGTTGAGCGTATGGATTGGTCGGTATTACGCATACTCGTGCGGTTTGATGTAGTCGTCTGTCGACGTCCGAACGACGCGCCGTCAATGTCAAAGGAAGTCGTGTTTGGCTTCCTTAGTGCGCACGGAGGGTTAACTAGATCCGACCGTTTCATATAGGCCGCTTGAATGGTCTTGCTTGATTGGGAGTGGTATGTTTGACCTCTGCGCAGCGTGTGCATGGACATTATTGATTTATCATATGCCATAAATAAAATGATCGTATAAAACATGAGCTTCGTTTTGTTTCTCGCGAGGCCGGGAACTTGACAGTCCTTGTCAAACCTGCCGGCAATGTTCAGCCGTCAGCCCTCCAAACCTTAGGTTACAATAAAATACCGTGTATTTACAACGCCGGCTTCAGGTCGGTGCGAGCCCCGGGGGCAGCGCCACCACTTTGAACTTTACCGTCCGCGCGACCCCTCCTGGGCCGCCAGACCACACCGATAAAACACAAATATAATGTACAAAACGGCCGACAGACGGCGGCCACGTAACAAGACTGGGAGCGATGAAGGAGCCGGGATGAACCGGGAAGGCTTGCGAGGATAGTCAGAAAGCGCAGCAAAGATCGGATTGGACCGAGCCACTGCCGTGCGCGACTTTCAGATCAGCGAGTAGACTGACAACAGCCAGCAGGATGTGCCTGAGTCATTCACACATCGCCACAAACAAAAAACATAAAGCACGCGCCGCGGTTCTCGCGGAGATTTCGGGCGGCTATAATACACAGTCACGGACACCGGCCTCCTGGTTGGCCCGTTGGTAACTACACAGTGTTTGGTCCGAGTTCACCAGTCACTGTCCAGACTGTCACTCACTCACTATACACATCTTGTCCACCACGTCGTGTACTGTCCACCGTGGACAATCCACCGCGGTGTGGAAGATCCACCGTGTGCTACGCCCGCCGGCGTCTCAGGGCGGCAGCGGGGGTCAGAACCAGAGCGCTCTGGCCAACGCCAGTCGTCAGTCCAGCGATATAACGTCTGGCGAGGAGGACGGGGGAGGCGGCTGGGGCGCCGGCTGGGCGCTGCTGCTCGACGGCCAGGCGCTCATGGAAGATACGGTCGGCATGTACGGCCACCCGACGGGATCTGCGGACGAATGGCGAAGTCAGTAGAAGGGTAGGACACTGCCAGGTCAGTGAACGGGCACAGCCTAGGGGCAGTGGTTTGTAAACTGCTACGGGTCACACGTCAGGTGGAGTTACGAAATACGACTCGTTGTTGGAGGGGCTCGGGGGTTAGTGCTCAGTTACTGTACTGGTCGGTGGACGGTTACGGAGTCTGTGATCCGTGGAGGGGCCCCGAGGTCAGTGGGGGTCACAAATTAAATAGGAGGAGCAGCCTGCAGGTGCGGTGACACGTAATTGGACCAACAGTTATAAAGGAAGGGTCCCGAACATCATTTTAACAGAATTCCGGGATTCACATTACGGCGTGGTTCACGCCCTACACCGAAAAAGAAAGAGCAAGGTAAGTGACTAGGATAATCGTAATGGAAATCAAATTTGTTCACAAATATGTGGAAGCATATCAACATCTTGACATGAACATGACTTTACCAGTTACTATGGGTTTTTTTTGGCGCCCGGACTAAAGTGGTCATCGGCGAGTTACTATCAATCGCCATCCCAAAACTAGTCACATCGAATGATTCGTTGAAACATACAGTTAGCCCATATCCGCTGGCTATTCTAGACCGCCACGGCTCCCTGCGGTTACTCACCGAAATGCAGTGGTCCGGCGCTGGCCGGCTGGCGCACCGACTGGTAGTAGGGCGCCGCGCCGGACACGGTCGCTCCGGGAGACATGGACATGCTTCGCAGCGCCGCCAGACTGACGGCAGGACGACGAGAGCGGTTAGCATAGTCAGTAACATCAGCAGGATCAGTCAGACCAGTCAGAAACACACCACTGATATTACATGAATATCAAACAAACTTGGGAGCAGACTGACTTCACAAGCTACAGCTCTAGTTGAAATGTGAATATTATAGCACGGAGGGTAAAACATTTGGCCCTCTGCAGTTCTAATCCAGTATAGGGGAGAGTGGGGCACATTCGTGCAAAAAATGGATAAACCCATATATCTGTTCTTTGGTTAGTGCAATGGCAAAATTGTTGATTGTAGTATGGAAAGGAACTATTGCAGATAGTTTTCCTCTTTAAAAGTTATCCTATAAAATTATTGCTTCCATTAGAAAAAATGACTTTTATTAACTTTGAACATTTGCACGAAACTGCCCCACCTATGGGGCACATTCGTTCAAGAGATGGGGCACTTCCGTTCACCCGGCAAAATTCGAGAAATTACCGGGCATTACCAGAAATTTACCAAAGGAAATTGGCAGGGGGTCATTTCACTTGATTCCTTTCGACAAGAATGCATTGCACAACAAATGTAGAAAGAATGGGCTGGCCAACAAGAATGTGCCAACTGCCGGCCTCCGTGACCTCGCCAAGTTCGCGTGAATTGCTCGTCACGACGTCGCAAGCAGTCGAGACTGAGTCAGGCGAGCGTCATTAGAGAAACCTACTACAGATAAAGTCATAAATCGCAAAAACTAAAAAAAAAATATGCACGAATGTGCCCCCAGGCAGTGCGTACACGAACCTGCCCCACAACGTTATTAGTAATATATTTCAAAATTTCTTTTTGAAAAAATGACACTTTTTCAACAAACAAGTTTGCAGCAGTTCCGTGAATAGAGTGGGCTTCTTCACCCCCAATTTTGAAAAGCTGAACCACATTTCCGAGTCAGGATCACGAAAATGGATGATATGAGAAAAGTTTGGAAAGCTCACGAATATTACAAATTTGCGTTTTTATCAAGCATGACAGCAGGTACAGTGTTGTCTTCTACGGTGAACGAAGGGCGGCAATGATAGACATATTTCCATAATTTACCTTGAGCTCGTGCAGTCACTCGTGTTCCCATAAACTGCTGAAAACGAATGTGCCCCATGCACGAATGTGCCCCACTCTCCCCTAATGTTATGCTATCAGCTAATTCTCGCCAGACTTGACAAGCTGTAGACACGATGCTAATATGGAACTTACATGAAATTGTTTGTGTCTAACCAGCCCAAAATACATTTTGCACTCAGCACCTGTTATCACGACCAACATCCGATACAAAGCAAATACTACGATCAACATCTCAATAGAAGTTTAGCAGTGATACGGCTTTTGAGCGAATTATCAGCAGAGCTAACTCGTGATCTAATTCACATCGTCTACTCAACACTGTCTACCCGCCTATACGGGCGGCCGCTCAGTTCTGACCTGCCCGATCCTCCAGTGGCGGTAGAACTAGCCTCCGAGGACGAGCCAGAGTGCTTGTTCCCAGAGACTGCAACAGGACAGTATACGTTCAGAGGGGGCTCGTAGCGAGGGCGGGAGAGCGCTACTGCTAGATGAAGAGGAAGGAGGGGAAGGGTCGCAATACACCACCTGGGGCACTGCACTACGTGGTATAAAGTGCGTTTGGTAGGACAGGAGCGTCGACTGAAGGACTATTGCAGGTCAATACATATTGAACTGTTGAAGCTAAAACTAGTGTAGATATAAATGAGTATAAAAAGGCAAATCAGTGGATATCCATTATCCAACCCAATGGTATTTGGAAATAGTTTAAGTCCTCTCGGCGCAAATGAAGTTAAAGGTATTATCAAAAAGACGTTAACAATAAAACAAATGCAAACACATTGCAACTTATTAATACTCAAACAAGACAAGAAAATTGAGACAAGAAACATATTAGCCCCGGCAGCTGCTGACGGCAGGTGCTGCGCGTGAAAGCCCGGGGCTGTTAAGCCTGAACTGACAGCGCTCTGACCATGGGAAAGTAACTGGTACCTAAGTCTGGATGACCAAGTGTGTGCCCTATTCCCACTCCCTAAGCATTAAAGCAATGCATGTTCAACAGAAGCATGAGGCAAAGAAGCATTTCCAAAACGTACTACTGACTAGCACTAGAAAGCACTACTACCACCCCCATCATGCAATTGCCACCAGTAGCCACCACCATCCCACCTCCCCAAAGCACCCCAGCACGCACCCCGCTCCCCACATGCTCATCTAGCTCCCGCGGCCCCCCCCCCCCCCCACAGCTCGGCCGGCGGGGCCCCACTGCAGCCGTTAGTCTACATGCGGCCGGCCCTCTCTGGCACCCACACGACAACTTGATTTTTGTATCCCCGACTGGAGTCGACTGCCATTTGCCTTCGGTGGAAGAAGAGCCGGCGGCGGCGGCGGCGGCGGCCAGGCGCTTCTTGGGCGGCGGCGGAGCGTCGTCATCAGAGTCGGAGAGCGTCAGGTCCACGCAGGCCGGCTCCTTCTTCTTCTTCTCCGGGGAGGCTTCCTTCTCCTCGGTGACCTTGACCTCGTCTGAGGTGAGGGGGGAATGATGACAGGTCAGCGCGGTACGGGACAGAGCGACGGTTTACTCCACTCCGTTCGTACGCGGAACGGCTCACACGAAGGAAACTACCAAATCGAAGATCATTTGGCCATTTACCGGTATTATTCAGCCCACTATGTAGCAGAATGATGAACATTGAACAATGAACACGCTCAATGCAAGCATAGGAGAGCATTTAGGATAATGTTGCATTGCATCACGCAAAAAACGAAAGACGTTGTTGCACAATTGGTTCAAATAACTTGATGAACTGGCTTTACGGACTCGACAAATGCGAGGTCGTCTTTACGCCCTAATTGTTGGTTACGGGTAGTCACAACCAGTGGCGCAGCCAGAACTCTGGCGACGGGGGTGAGAGACGTTCGCGATGGGCCCCCCAGCAAAGTGGGCCCCCTCAACCTAATGGGGGCCCCTTACCAACAACGAAAGGACAGATCATTGTCCTGATAATAACCAGCCAAATCGGGGAAAAGGACAAATATCTCTTGATCTGAAGAGGCACGTAAAAAACAACAGCATATTTACAGAAACACGACCATTCTGCCCATATTTGATGGACAGCGTGCAATTCATGGCCAGCGGCCACTCAAATGGTCGGGCTAGGTCAAAAAGCTTTTAAAAAAGCTCAACATCAGTTTTTCGACTATTACTTTTGATATAGGAGACGAGGTAGAGTAATGAAATTGTCTTGAAGGTGTTAATCATTCATTCGGATCAGTTGATGACCATCATGAACTTCTCAAGTAAGGGCATGACCTTGATCTGCGTTCACATTTTGAAGTTGAACTTTTTAATGGAAATTATAGGTGTTAACATTCGATGCATGTTAACGAGAGAATGATGACAAAGTAAATGTCTCATAATTTTTCTCACCAAAGTTCTTGGAAAAATTCTTAGCAATTAGCAAAACTATTTTGGTAAAATGCGACTATTTAGATGGTTTCACCCTCTGCTCTGTTGCCAAACTTGACATGAGGCATTGAGGTCAAATCTTAAAAGCGAAAGCGTTTTGAAAGGCCTATCGAATGAGTTGTTCCGCGAAGCTCTAGCTCTTTGGTTCACGAGTTGTACGGTAACGGTTATTTGTGAAAATATAAAAACAAGAATTTTTTCGTCGTAATCTTGTCTTTGTGTTTATCATAATTTTATCATAATTTCATCTTCAATGACCTCAGCGATGACCTAATCGAAAAATGACCTCTACGATTCTGAAGCATCCTACAGCGATCTGTTGCTTTTCTCGTCTTTCTAGCCTTCTTAAATTATGATCGGGTTTGGCCGATACGCCCCCCCCCCCCCCATGGCTGATTGCACGCGTTAGAGAGCTATCGAACACACTTTCAGCGCGCTATAGCTTTATATGTCCTCGAGTGTCGAAATAGGCGAAACTTTTCCTTCAATGAACATGATGACGTGGGCTTTGGTCTGAACTGCAACATGACTGAAGTAATTTCTCCATGATTTTCGACGCTCTTTAGAAAGCTGCCTACCACCGCACTTGTCGCTACGTGACCCTGGAGTCGGGTTAGAAGGGAATATTCAAACACCCCTCAGGGGCGTAAAACTGGAAAGCCTGGGGCCCTGCTCTGCGGGGCGCGGTCAAGCTAGGCTAGAGCCAGTTCGGGATGTTTACAAGCCCACGTAAAACCCTCAAAAATCTGCATAGAGCACAGGCCTTCCAAGACTTGGGGGTTTAGATATCAACAATCGACATGGTCTTTTGAGACCTGCGTGGTGGCTATCAGAGGTCGGTGGGCCCCTCAAAAGCCGGTGCAGGAGCCTCGGGTGTCAGTTTGGAGCCATCATGGACCGGTGTGAAGTCCTGATGAATGCCTAGGCGTCAAACCCCTAGACGTCAGGGTGGGGCCGGGCGGTGAGGCAGGCACAGACCTGAAGAGAAGAGAAATTTTCAGATGTCGGCTTGGCATCTTAACACCGCGTGGTTCTCCTGCTCAGTGACCCGACCCGACCCCTCCCCAGACACCCACCGTGTGGTGGGGCCCTGCATGGCTTTCTCAGAGGCTGACATATCGTACTGCGGGACCTCCATGAGCCTCAAAAACCTCTATGGGCCCCCTCACGCTTGGGGTAGGCTTCCTGAAGCATAAAATCTCTGAGTCTTGAGATGGGCCCATTAGACATGAACTGGGCCATCAATAATGATGGGCCCATAGACATGAACTGGGTGAGTTGACCTATATCAAACATGATATCGGCTCAATCAGGATTGGGATAGGCCCCCTCAGACCCAGACCAGGCACGGAGTACGGACCCTCCCACACATAGGATGACCCTTTCATTCCTGGGATGAGTCTTCTCAGGCCTGAAATGGGCCCCTCTCAGGCCTGAAGTGGACCCTCTCAGGCCTCAAATAGGTCCTCTAGGGCCTGACATTAGCCCTCTCAGGCCTGACATTAGCCCTCTCAGACCTGAAATGGACCCCTCTCAGGCCTCAAATAGGACCTCAAGGGCCTGAAATGGGCCCTCTCAGGCCTGACATTAGCCCTCTCAGACCTGAAATGGGCCCTCAGACCTGAAATGGGCCCCCTCAGCCCGTAAATGGTCCCTATCATGTCGAAAAAGGGCCCCCTGGCCCCTCATACCGTAACTGGGCCCTCTCAGGTCTGAAATGGTGCCTCTTATGCCTGAAATGGGCCCTCTCTGGCCTCAAACGGGCCCTCTCTGCCCTAAAACGGGCCCTCTCTGGCCTCAAACAGGCCCTCTACGGCATGAAATGAGCCCTCTCAAGCTTGAAATGGCCCCCTCAGGCCAAAAATGGGCCTCTCTCAGGCCTGAAATGGGCCCCTCTCAGGCCTGAAATGGGCCCTATCAGGCCTCAAGCATGCCATCTAGGGCCTGAAATGGACCCCTTCAGGCCTGAAATGGGCCCTCTCAGGCCTGAAATGGCCCCTCTCAAGCCTCAAACAGGCCCTCTAGGGCCTGAATTGGGCCCTCTCAAGCTTCAACTGGGCCCCTTCAGGCCTGAAATGGGCCCTCATATACCTGAAATAGACCCTCTCAGGCCTGAAATGGCCCTTTCATGCCATGGAACGGGCCCTCCTAGGCCTTGGATTAGTTCAATCGGGCCTTGGATCACCCCTTAAATCATAAAATGGGACTATATATCCTAAGGGGGGGGGGGGGGCTATCAGGCCTGAGGACTGTTTTTCAGTCCTATGACGGACCTTGACATTAGTGATAAAGAGATTGTCAGGCTGCATAACGTTACAGTTCGAATCGACGGTGGGCCCCTAGGATAAGAGACGGGGGTGAGATCTCACCCCTTTCACCCCCCCTGGCTGCGCCACTGGTCACAACTGTCACAACCAGGGATGCGGAGCCGTGGAAATTTCAAACGGCTCCGGCTCCGGCTCCGGCTCCGGAGAAAAAAATCGGCTCCGGCTCCGGCTCCGGCTCCGGGTGAAAAGTTATGGCGGCTCCGGCTCCGGCTCCGGCTCCGAGTAAAATGGTCCGGCTCCGGCGGCTCCGGCTCCGACTCAGTACATCCCCTATGCAATCAATTAAATACGGGTGGAAGAAAAATTGGATTGGTTATACGGCATACGCGTTACCTACTCTTGCCATGACCGGCTCACCGCGTCCCCGCGCAAACGCACCTCGGAGAGAACTGGCAGAACAAGGGACTATAGGAAGCGATGGCATTGGAAACGCAGTCGCCGCGAATCGGAGTTCACTGAACCATCGTAAGCTGACACCCATCTCGGCTGCATTGGGGGGTGGGGGTGGGGGGTGGGGGTGGGAAGAGACGGTGCTGGGAGTCGCAGTCCACTGCACTGGCTTCAAAACAATGGCCGTCACCTGATGACCGGTCCTCATGTTCTGGGGATGCAGTAGACGTGAGGGGGGGGGGGGGGGAGGAGCAGACAGGAAGTTGATTGCGTACTGTGGGATACTGGGGATATTCGGCTTTTTCATTCACTTGATGGCCCATGACGTACTATTGGTCTCAAGATAAGGGCCCAGGCGACCTGTAGTTTTGATGCGGTGAATAACCTTACCCTCGCCACAACTCGGGCCGAGTGCACCCCTCCTCCCAGCCAGCGCCACCCCCACTCGCATTGTGGCGAGGGTGAGGGTATTCACCGCATCAAAACTACAGGTCGCCTGGGCACTTATATGGAGACCAATAGTACGATATGTTTTACTGCCTTGTACTGTCAAACCGAACTAGGTCAATTATTTTTTTCTTCTTCAAAAAATAAAAAGGAGCCGGAGTCGCCCCCTTTTTTGGCGGCTCCGGCTCCGGCTCCGGCTCCGGGCTATATTGTTTCACGGCTCCGGCTCCGGCTCCGGCTCCGGGCAAAATATGCCGGCTCCGGCGGCTCCGGCTCCGACTCCGGCTCCGGCTCCGCATCCCTGGTCACAACACAATTCACGTGGAGCGTTAGCCTAACTCACCGGATCCTGAGTCATCCTCCAGCGAGTGGACCTTGACTGACGGCTCCTCCTCCTGAGCAGACACATAGACATTCGGGAGGGACGGCGTGTGGGGGACGGTACACGGTCAGACATTGAAACCTGGGTGGACAGATTGGCAAGCATGGGGATATAAAGGGGGACAACGGCAAAACAATGAGATAGCGAAATTTGCAGAACTGTAGCCGCGGAGTTGAGACGGATACTGCTGAGATACAAGAGAGGCCGATGGGCGGGAGACAGTGAGACAAAACATGAAAGGGAAGACGAGATGAAGGGGACAGGAGAATATGGACGAGACACGGAACGATGGAGATTTAGCAGAGTTACTCCCAGTCTGCCATACCCCCCCCCCTCCCGGGGCCCAACACATCCAGTAACACTATATGGCCTAGCCTCCTCCCAGTTCCCTCCCCATCTCCGACCCCTCGCTTATCACCTTGGGTTTCTCTTTGACCTCCTTGGAGACCTCTCGCCACGAGCCGTCCTGGTGCAGCGTCACCTCCATACACGAGCCGCTCGTCTTCTTCAGCACCTCCGCAAAGTAGCTGGAGAACAGGATACCCAAACGCGAAGGTTAGCGGGAAAAGAGGGGATGCGGGGGGACAGATCGATAAAAGTCCTTACAGCACCTAAAACACTGCAGTAAAATTAACATCAAGGTCAGTGCGATCCTGATAAGTCATGATCCACCGATTATCATTGATAAAAGGGGCAGATATGCCCGTGATCGGTGACAGGGCTCGGTTCCGCTGGTAGCAAAGTCATGTGTTGAGTACTCAGAGGGCCCTTGTTCGCCCTGGATTTATCCAAATCCGTCACAAATTACTATGGCAATTATTATAAGTGTCCATTCAACACTTCTTGCTACACATGCTACTGTCATACTGGTCTGAACTAAATGTGTTGTATCAAATCAAGTATCAACAATCATGAGTAACCCACTTCAGGTCGTTACATGTCGATTTCCGCCCATACTCACCCGTCTATGACCAGAGAGCTGTAGAGGGCCGGTTTGTCACAAACTGGACACACCCACGTCGGCTTCCGTTCGTTCATCTGAATGTATAACGACGCGTCGAAACACTGCGGGCAGAGAAAAGACGAGGGTGAGAGGGCGCCCTGAAAGGAGCGAGATAAGCCACAGACGTCCAGCAAGGTCACACTACAGTCAAAGATCCATAGCACACTTCAGTACGTGCCACACTGAGCACGTCTCTGCATGCCGGCCAGACCATTGCCTCTGGTACAGCTACATCCATCCCTCGCCTCACTGGCTTACACACTCCCTGGTACGGCTGCATCTCCCACTCTTCCCCCTACATTAATTGAGCTTCGTTCCCCGGTACAGCTGAGATCTACATCCTCAACTTACCTGCAAATGCTGACAGGTGGTCGCCCTGCAGGGCAGCTGCATGCGACACTTGCCCAGGGGACACTGCAGGCTACACTTGAGGGACGTCGTCGCTATCTCGTCCTCGTATCCCTCGCACAGCTTCTCTTTGACTGAAAAGGACAGTCACAGATCCGGTGTGACGACAGGAATTGAAAATAGGGCGGACAGAGTAATCTGTACGTCTGCGCCCTACCAAGGAGCGTCTCTTCCTCCAGCACGACTTGACCTGTTATCCGCCTCGTCGGCTTGTTCCCTGTCTCGATCTTCAAATTGGTTCCTATTATCAGTAAAGTAATCTTAGTTCCTATGGCTCGGTAAACGAATGAGACGGGGTCTACCATTCACATAAAATTGTCTACTGCATATCAATCAGTCTCTTCTCTTATGTATCTTCCCCCAGCTATAAGTTCTCTCCTATCATCATCATCTCCCAGAACCCTGATCTCCTAACGAGCGGTCCTGTATGCATCTCCCAAACCAACCGTTCACCCATCTCTCACCGATCTATAAGTCCCATCACCCACCAGAACCCACCATCGCTCCCTCCCTCCCTCCACCCCACTCACTCAGTCCACGCGTGAAGTCGGCATTCTTCGCTCCGCGCGTCCGCAGCCGATTCAATAAATCCTGCGAGCTGAGCCTGCGCACCACGCAGATACTGACACAGTAGGCGCGGCCCAGCTCGACCCCCCAGGAGATCTGCACTGTGTTCGGCTGTACTGGCGAGATTCGGCACAGCGGGGTGATGTTCACTGGCTTGGGCGGCCGGCGAGGCTCCACGCCGGGCTTCGTGCTCATGATGGGGTTCTGTGGAAGAGGGAGAGAGGGCAGGGGTTAGCGAGAGTTTTGTTGCAGGAGAGAGGGGAGGGAGAGGCCGGGAGAGAGAGGGAGAGAGGGAGAGGGAGAGGGAGAGGGAGAGGGAGAGGGAGAGGGAGAGGGAGAGGGAGAGGGAGAGGGAGAGGGAGAGGGAGAGGGAGAGGGAGAGGGAGAGGGAGAGGGAGAGGGAGAGGGAGAGGGAGAGGGAGAGGGAGAGGGAGAGGGAGAGGGAGAGGGAGAGGGAGAGGGAGAGGGAGAGGGAGAGGGAGAGGGAGAGGGAGAGGGAGAGGGAGAGGGAGAGGGAGAGGGAGAGGGAGAGGGAGAGGGAGAGGGAGAGGGAGAGGGAGAGGGAGAGGGAGAGGGAGAGGGAGAGGGAGAGGGAGAGGGAGAGGGAGAGGGAGAGGGAGAGGGAGAGGGAGAGGGAGAGGGAGAGGGAGAGGAGAGGAGAGAGAGAGAGAGAGAGAGAGAGAGAGAGAGAGAGAGAGAGAGAGAGAGAGAGAGAGAGAGAGAGAGAGAGAGAGAGAGAGAGAGAGAGAGAGAGAGAGAGAGAGAGAGAGAGAGAGAGAGAAAGAGGGAGTTGGTGGGTTCTGCTGCACAGGGATGGGTTAGTCGGTGAGTTCTGTCGCCGCAGAGAGATGAGTTAGCTTGTGGTCCTAGCCACAGGGGGATGGGTTAGTTGGTATTGCCCCTAAGAGAGGAGAACTCTACTGATAACTTCTGCCACCGATGCGATACTAGGAAACACGCCACCTGATGACTCATGACCGTCCGGCAGATGATAGGACGCTCCGGCGTTGAGAGGCGATAGCGCTCCACTCAACACTCAAAAGCTGCACGAGGTCATGATACTGCCGGTCCCGTGCCCAGTCCGGACACAGGTTAAAAGGCGACGGTTATAGTCTATAGAGTACGGCTGATACCGCTAGACCGCAAAAGTGACGGCTTCTAGCAATGCAAGGTTAGCTAGATCCCTTTCAAAGACATGCACGATTCGCATCCGCCCCAAGTGAAGTCCGTCTAGTAAAAGCGGTCAGGGGCCCGTAATCCACCGGGCCATTAGAACCTCACATGAACACTCTGACTGATACACTTTCAAACACTGAAATTCACAACTAATAGAAACTGTTACAGCATGGAGACATGGTTATCATACGGAGTACGTAGTACAATACGAAATAGATACGGAGGTGCAAATCCTTCCCTAGGAATCCCGCCAGCATAGACTATCGGTAGTCTATGCCGCCATTAATCCGCAGTCCAGCCCCTCCCTGAGAACCAGCCCTCTCCCTACCGGTAACCCTGCAGTCCAGCCCCTCCCTGAGAACCAGCCCCCTCCCTACCGGGGTAACCCTGCAGCCCAGCCCCCCCCCCCTTCAGGAGAACCCAGCCGGTAACCGGGTGACAGATACTGACCGGCAGCTGGCAGGTCTTGCCGTTGACGCGCACAGAGATGTTGGGAGGGAAGTGGTCCTCCTGGGGGCACGACGTCTCCAGTAGGCACAGCCGCATCTGGATCTGCACGAAACCAACACAGCAAGACGTCAGAGAACAATACATACATCAGACCAGCCAGTGCACCGGAATATGCAGAGAAACCGATATCTCTAACTCCTCATGAAGGTGACAATTCTAACCTGTGAGCCTGATTATACCAAAGAAAGTAGAGCACTTTACTGCGGGTACGGAACTTGAATTAATAAGTTTCTTATAGAGCTCGAAAAGTTTTGACAATAAAGTGTCAGTCGAGCAAGCAAACACCCGATGAAATCCTAGACATTCAGGCACCTGTCTCCACACTTATCTGACTGACCTGGACCGGGTACTCGAGCTTGGTGCCGATGCGCCCGTCGTGGTTGGAGGCGATGTCATCCGCCTGCTGCGGTGTCAGGTGGAAGCCGTACATACCGTCGTTGTAGCCCTTGCCAGGAGCATACGACGGCGCTGAGGGGGGGGGGGGGGTTATGGTTATGTGACGGGGCACGGTGAGTGAATGGGGGAGGGGGGAGGGAATGCAAGGGGCACCTGTCATTCAGATATGCTGCGGTGCTAGGCTAGACGATGTCGATTCGTAAATTAGAAAGCATTAGAGGTGAGATGCTTGGCAAATGATCATCGTCCATAGCGAATACCCGCAATGTGATATGCGATTGTTACTTGTTAGGATCCAATACAATACTGAGCAAACGTCGGAACAGTGTCCTGAAATTGATTTTTCGGAGAGTGTGATTGAAGCCGCGAGGACGTCGCTATTTCAAAAGGACGTCGATATCGGTGCGGAGCCTAAGCCACTGAAGATCCCTTACCTAAATCTCTTAAAATTAGCGATTTTCACTGGCAATATTGACTAATACCACCTCAAGGCACCTCAAATGAATGACACAAAGTAATGCCAGTTTACCCCTAGTAAAATACAAAATTCAAGCATTCACCATAAACACCAAAACAACACTGAAGATGTTTAGTTCTTGTCCATGATCGTACACAACAGTCAACAACAAATATGCTTCAACAAAATCAGCCCAAGAGCCAGCGGCTATCACTAAATATTGACGTCATAAGAGGGATATCATATCGAGCAAGAGGACTGATGTAAAAAAGCAGATGTCCAAACAAAGAGGTGGAAAACAGTTCGGAAAATTAATTTCCATAGCTTACTGTTATGAAACTCAATTAAGAAAACTCCAAGGTGGACGCTGAATTTTTCTTGGCTGGAAAAATGTGAAATCATTGTGCACTTTTCAGTTTTGTACCGACGTCGATTAAATGGGAATGACAAGGCCAATCGACGTCCCCAACATTGCGTGTATTTTTAAGCCAAGGACGACATACTTGAATTAATTCTGTTGAAATTCGGTAACTTTATTCTAATTCAAACAGATAAACATTAAACTTTTTCCCCAACCACTATCAACATATGCAAAATTAATTACTTTTGAAGGGCATGTTCAAGGGGCAGCGCTAACCCGTTACTGTGACCTTCTGAGGGGAAAAAATAATTAAATATGTTACAGTAATTTGATACGAAAGGTATGTTGCGTGCTTATAGTTAAATGTCCAAGTAATATTCGCATGATTAATTTTTATCTATACACTGCACAGTTACTAAAACTGAAAAGTGGAAAACGACGTCCTCAGATCCCTCTATTCCGACATCTTTTCTCCTTCATATGGCAGCATTACCTTCACATGGTAAAGGAAAAAAACCTATCCATATCCGACGCACAGAAAACGAAAATAAAATAAAACCGCGTTGTTTACTGTTGCGGCAGTTGGCCAGGAAAGGGGAGTCGAGTGTAAGACTTGTGAGGACTTAGGATATATTTACTGTCATTTTGCATAGCCGTGTTTTTAGGCTACAGAGGTGATATTTCCTTTTGTTAGTTTGCTTTTGGTGTTCGATATACCTATCGACTTTTATCTGTCAGGGACGTCGTTTGGCTTTCCGGGACGTCACAAAAAGAATCTGTTAGGTGTGGGTTTCCACCCAAATTCACGAAAATCAGGACACTGCGTCGGAATAATGCATACAACTTAGTAAATTTAAAAAGCACTGTGTAAATTATTGGCATCCAGCAAAATGCAACAGAGCCTATGATATTTTCACCTTACCGCAAATCTCAGACTAGACATTTTGTGGAATCTACAATTCACAAACCTACAATATGCCTTACAAGATTACGTTTTTCGGCACATGTCTGACCCCCTCTCCCCACTTCCCCCCCCCCTGCCCACTTACCGAGACTGGTGGGTTTCAGCAGCTCGCCGATCACATCAAAGAACGGCAGCGGCTTGAACACGACGTCCGGATGTGTGGGGATCTTGGAGCCGCTGTTCGGTACCGGTGACGACACCGGCTTGGTCGGATACTCGGGCATGTAGACGGGCGCATAGCCGGCGCCACCGCGACCCTGGGTGTACGACCGCGATGAGTTTTGGGGGCGGCTACCGGTCGACCGGGCTCGCACTTCAATCACGCGCCGCGGGCGGGCGGCTGACGTCGAGGGACGCTTGGTCGGATGGGGACGGTGGCTATGATGACTGTGCTGACGGTGTGGGTAGTGAGGCTCACGAAATGTGTAGGAAGGAGGATAGATCGGATGTAGTGGATAGTGCGCATGTTTGGACTGACGAGGTTTCTGTTGAGGACGATGCTTGGGGGGAGGAGTTTTGCGGTACCGAACGCACCGGAATTGATTTAGCTCCGGCTCAAAGACTTGCGACTGTTGTTTGAGTTTGCGCTTTTGAGACTTGCTCAGCTTAGGCTGGACCTGTTTTTGTGCATGAACATGTGGCTCAAAAAATCGTTGCCAATATGGAGCGTTCCGATTTTGGCGTTCCTGATGTTTCAGCTGACGTTGAAACTGGTGCTGCTCATGCTTCAACTGTCGGTGGGGTTTTTGTTTTTGTTCCTGACGATCTTGGGGTCGGTAACGTCGAAGATTCTGGGCGTTTTTATGCTTTTGCAGCTGCATGTTCTGGTGCTCGCAATGGCGTTTGTTTTGACGGGCCATCACTGATCACTTGAAAATTAAAAATGAGATGAATATCGATTGACTGAGAGGTCTGAGATGAGAATGAATCAGAACGCGCCGTCGTTATCAAATGACACCAACATAATTAGCAAGAGTTTACCGGATCTAAAGCACTCTAAAGACCAAAACTTATTACTTTAAGCTAAGGATGATTTCCAGGCATGGGAACAGTCCAAAAAAGTTCACATTATTGTCCATTCTGCCCTAGAGCTTTGACCCAAACGTTGACAAGCATGTCAGCTGTTTGCTTGTTTACGGCTTGTTCGGCCTTTTTGTTGGGCACCTCCATTTAGAAGAAAACTATGTCGAATGGCTAGCTACTTTTTTATCCCCGTCGGTAATGACAGCCACCAGATCCGTTCGTTGTCGGCTGCCAGAGCCCAGAACCACGTAACCAGGTGATGCGATGCATGATCTGAATAATTCAAGGATCTAGCGCGCTTTTCTGATGTGCCCGCCGGAAATCGAAACAACATCGGGGTTGGACAATGTTCTGCAGAATTTCCTTGTAATGCTTGCTATAAATAAGGTCATCCGACAAGTAGAAATTAGGATTATGCGTGTGTACATACTACATACAACACCCCATCATGAAACAGCAAAACATTTCGATACTGATGTGTCAAAATAAGTGAAGAAAACTGTACACTGTAAAAGTAATAATACAATATGACTTTATCGGGGCTTTCATTCTAAGCCAGGACAAAGGCAGACGTATACACTATGTATCATGCTTTATCGGTCTAAGTCCTCTCACGCCAGTCTAGCTAAGTCTCGGTATTGCCCACTACTCAGTTTACGCCTGATTGAGCCTACGTTTCACCAAGTCTACGCCTCCCCCGGTCTACGCTCGCTGAGGCTACGCTCACCAAGCCTACGCTCGCTAAGTCTACGTCTCACAACGTCTACATCAGCACCCACCTGCATCATGGGTTGGGAGTGGGCGCCGTAGACGGCTGAGCTGCGGTCCGGTACGGCGCCGCCGCCGGCCACGGCGCCGCCGCCGCCGCCGGGCTGAGACAGACCCGCCTGTGACCTGCCGTGCAGATCGCTCAGTGTCTCAGACCTGGCGGTCACCGCAACGCAGTGACGCAGGTCAGATCGGGGCGGCGGGGAGGGTCAGATCGGGGCGATGGGGAGGGTCAGATCGGGGCGGTAATGGGTCAGATCGAGCTGTGGGAAGGTTAGATCGAGCGGTGAGCAGGTTAGATCGGGTGGGGGTGGTGGTAGATTGGGCGGTGGAAGGTCAGATTAGGCGGTGGGGAAGATTACATCGGGCTGGCGGAAGGTTAGATCGGGTGACGCAGGTTACATCAGGTAGGTGTGGGGGAGGGTAAATCGACTAGGCCGGCAGAAGGTCAGAATGGGTCGGTGGAAGGTTGAATCAGGCTGCTGCAAGGGCAGATCGAGCGGGTGGCAGGTCAGAACGGGCGGCGCCTCTAAGGGACAGTAAACAGGAGAGGAGCCCGTTGCTGCAGAAGAGCGGAAGGGGGTGTAACTAGGGAGGGCAGGGAGGAAGCGAGAGAGATGAGGCAGAAATCAGGAACGAGTGAGAGTGAGTGAACGGAAGAGGAAAGGGAATGAGGGAATGGGAAGGGGAGCGAGAGAGGCAGGAAGACGATGGGGGAGAGATAAGAGAAGAGAAGCACATAACAGACAGCGGCACGGGAAATGTGATGAGGTTCGGTCACACTTCATGAATTTCTTCAAGATCAGATATGATATGCATGTGAAAAGTTAGGGCAAAACAACAAAAAATGAAAAAAGCAACAGTGCGAAAGAATGGATAAGAACAAAATCGTACAGTGGACTTTTGCTGCCCACGTCAGGTGCAGATACATGAATCAGAATGTTGCCAGGAACAACGATGGAAAAGTGATCACTCAAGAGCCCACGATACTTGTGTGGAGATGAGTTTTTGGTATACGAGCGGTGGAGGTTGGAGAAGCAATCACCCAACAAACATATAAAAACATAAAAGTGCGGTTGTCTCCTGCCACCGAACTGGGTAAAATGATCAGTAGAATTAAACAAAGGATGACGAAAAAGGTACGATGCAATGATAATCTGCTCCATAGTTAGTCCATGAGAATCAATAGCAGACCCAGTGTTTTTAACAAATCGGCTAATACGGTGTGCGGTGATGGTGCGGTGATGTGCGGCTCCAAGGCATCATGGAGTAGTGTTCAGTTCATCTGGACTACAGTTCAGATACTGTAGTTCAGTCATAAGTCCAGCGTATCTCAGCTCTAAAGGCTCCCGGCGCAGTCCTATCTTCTCTGTTCCCAAAACGGCGATAGCCACCGCTGCACCGTTCTGACACAGTCAAGGCCATCGAAGCTCTGCCATCACAGCGTATCTGTGATAGTTAGCGATAGCCTCTGAACACTGCATGAACGCCATAGACTACCGGTTTGAACGGATGTTACGATAAAATACTGCGCAATTAACATCCTGTCACTTGTCAGTCTTACAGGCTACAGCAGCAGTTGCATCGCTGAGTATTTCTCACAGGAAAGAAAAACAGTTTTTAACAAGGAAGGGATCATTCTCACCTGGAATGAATCATTCTCACAGAGCGGCGGACCATTCTCACCTGGGGCGAACCACTGCCGTTGGAACATTTGACCAAGAGACCGTCGCCGGCGATACACCAGTCGACGGCGATACACTAGTCGAGGGCGATACTCCACTCGAGGGCGATACACCAGTCGAGGGCGATACACTAGTCGAGGGCGATACTCCAGTCGACGGCGATACTCTAGTCGGAGCCGGTTTCCGCGGGACATGCCTCTGAGCCGAATCGTACCGAATCCTGTCCGCCGGCCGTGCATAACCATACGGTAGCACATGGTTGCTGTGGAGCCCCGACAGCTGTGGTGGCGGACGCTGCCACACGTAACTATTCACCGGTGGAAAACTGAGCACTGAGTCGCCCATCGGCCGGTCCCAGACGGGTGGCGGCGGACGCATCCACGGCTGTATTTCTCCAGGGGACAGCACGCGGCGGCGCGGACCCCCACGCGACACACGCGAGGCCGGCATTTGGGGTGAGATCACAACGCAATTACGTCCGGCAGTCGCTCGAACAGGTCACACAAACTTGGTGAGTCAAAGTGACGCTAATGTGACGACCGGCGTCCAAAGGATGTGACGTGAGCAGTCGGAGCGATCACCCCCACCGACCAAAGTTAAAAGATGTGTAGCACACACTTCACTCCACCGCAAAGTCTAAAAACGCCTGCTGAGCTCCAGCCGAACTTCCGCGAGACGCTGTCCGACCACTCACACCGACCGAGAGAGTTTAACTGGCCCGGCCGCTGCGACCCCAACCACCCCCAGCTACCGGGGTCACCACAGGTCACGGGCACCGCGGCCGCCGAGTCGCCACCGCCATCTGTCGAGCGATGTCAGTACTAAAAGTAAGGGCGCATGAGACTCGCCGGTGTCCAGCGACTCTATATAGATGGCGCAAAATAACAGAGGAAACGGCTGTTCTCTCTGGCTTGTCAAAAGAGCTTGCCTGGCTTCTTGAGCAGCTGAGCGAAATGGAAGCACATGTTGATGCAACTGAATGTCACCTACCTTATGGAGCTCTGAGTGTAGATAAAAACAGCTGAATGAATCATCTACCATGGCCATGCGGGCCCTGCGGCATATGACACCACCTCACCCGAAATAGACGGACCGAGCAGCGCAGATTTGCTGCAATAATGCCGGCAGGGCACTGGAAAACTCGGCTTGGGGGGGAAACTCAGCTTGTATCGCCTGTATTCGACAGAACATCCCAGAATATCCAACACTGCCCACTACGGGTCACAGATCGCGGATGCTTGCTTATTGTGTCGGGTGACGTTGCCCTGAGCGGATCAACGACTGGTGCATCGCAGCGGCAGGGACCATCCCGGGGAAGGACGGGGGATGTCCCGTAAGGACAGTTTATCTTGCAATTCAGACAGCCACCCCGGAGATAGTGTAGCCCAAAGAGTAGCCCAAAGACTTCCTCACCTTTGCAACGGCTGTCTGGTGGATGCAATCGTCAGCCCCTCACAAGACAAAGTTAGCCTTAGCAAGGATGTGGATGAGGTTGTGATGGGGGTAGCAAGGACGGATGTGGCCACGGCTGTACCGCGCAGATGTCACTTCAAACGACCGCGGCTCAGTTGTGCCGGCATAAGGCCGGTATGGGTTGATAGGCAGTGACGTCACATTTCCTACAAACGACGTCACTGTTTCGTTCGTTGACTGCTACCGGCTGAGGCTAGAGACGTTGAGTGCCACTTCATTCCACAAGATCAAACTACACTTGAATTTTACTTATAAGATACCCGAAATTCGGAGTGATTGGGGACCTGTCTGGGCTGCCACGCACCTTTGACCGATCACAATCTTCCATGTCCCTCACAAGTCACATCATTACTTCTCAGAAGTAATGATAAATAAAAACCGATTGGCTGAGCCCATGTGTTTGTAGGGAGTTCGAAAATGACGTTTCTAGGGGTAAATTGGCATAAGGAATGCGGAGCCGTGGAAATTTCAGACGGCTCTGGCTCCGGGTGAAATCCCATGGCGGCTCTGGCTCCAGCTCCGGCTCCGAGTAAAATGGTCCGGCTCCGGCTCCGGCTCCAATACTCAGTACATCCCCCCCCCCATGCAATTAAATACGGCTGGAAGAAAAAAGACGATGGGATTGGTGCACATTGCTTCTGTATTTGCATAACAAGGCTATTTTCATATTTTGAATACCGCATGTTTTACTGCCTTGAACTACCAAACCGAACTATGTAGGTAAATAATTTCTCCTCCTCAAAAAAAGGAGCCGGAGTCGCCCCCTTTTTTGACGGCTCCGGCTCCGGCTCCGGGCAAAATATGCCGGCTTCGGCGGCTCCGGCCCCGGCTCCGCACCCCTGATTGGCATAGAACGTTTTGGTAACCTTCACGATGTCCGTAAGAGCAACAGACACAAGCCCCCACAACTCCATCAATTCTAGAATCTAGTCCATCGGTTTCAAGTCCGTCCCGTTCCCCCTCCCGCCGATGACAGCGTCTCGGTACTCACTGAATCGTTTTGTACAGCTCTCGGATCTTGTTGACCACGGAAGACACGCGCGACTTGGCCAGGTCGAGCGCTCGCGCCTGGAGCTCCTGTTTTCGACCGGTCTTGTTCCGTCCCGCGTAACCCAGGAGCATGACAAGCTCCGAGACACGGAACGTCATCACCATTCTCTGTGGAAGGGACGAGAGCGGTGGAGTCAGAGGTCAGTGCGGACGACACGGGCCGCAAAGGCAGCGGTCGTATTTAGCGTAAGGAAGTTCGAGGTCAGCGCGGGCAATCGTACACGCCAAAAGGTCATCGCCATTCACTGCGAACGAGATAAGAACGGGGAGATTAGGGGACCGTACAATGCGGTCAATGCTTCAGGCTCCAAAGACAGTGAGTTGCGCCAAAGTGATGAGATTAGAAAAGTCTCACGAAAACGACAAACTCGGCGGCCATTTTTTATGTCTCCCGAAAAAAAACACACCAAAAAGTGGATGGGGGGTGAGGTGAGTAGTGGCAAAGGTATGGACTAAGCTTGTTTCAATAAATCATTGGTGGTTAGGATAGCAGTCCATCATCG